GATATATGATTTGCAAATATTTTCTCCCATTCTGTGGCCTGTCTTTTCACTCCCTTGATAGTACCTTTTGATTCGCGAAAGTTTTAGATTTGGATGAAGTCCAGTTTATCTATTTTTGCTCTTGTTGTTTGTGCTTTTGATGTCATAGCTAAGAATCATTGTCAGGTCCCAGATCATGAAGATTTACCCCTATATTTCTTCTAAGGGTTTGTACTTTTACTTTAATCACTTATGCTCAGGTCTTTGACCCATTTTCAGTTACTCTTTGTATGTCGTGAGGCGGGAGTCCAGCTTTATTCTTCTACCTGTGGACATCAGTCAGCCCATCATCACTTGTTGAAGACTATTCTTCCTCCATTGAGTGGTTTGGCGAAAATCCTTAGCTATAAATGGATGGGTTTATTTCTGGACTCTCAAGTCTATTCCATTGACCTCTATGCCTATCCTTATGGCAGTACCACACTGTCTTGATTACTGTCGTTTTGTATTAAGTTTTGAAAGTGAGAAGTGTGAGTCCCCTAACTTTGTTCTTTTTTGTCAAGATTGTTTTGGCTATTCGTGCAATTCCATATGAATTTTAGGATCCGCTTTTCTACTTCTGTAAAAAAGGCCATTGGGATTTAATGTTTTGATTTTTGAAGCATGATAATGGATTGTCTATTCAAATTTTTAATTAATAAGTTTTAAAAAATCAGAAATTTGGGCCAGCCCCAGTGGCCTAGTGGTTAAGTTCGGCACACTCCACTTGGGTGGCCAAGCCCAGTTCCCAGGCATGGACCTACACTGCTCATCTGTCAGTGGCTATGCTGTGGCGGTGGCTCACATACAAAAAAAGGAGGAAGATTGGCAATGATGTTAGGTCAGGAGAATCTTCCTCAGGAAAAAAAAAAAATCAGAAATTTGCCTGATCTTCCCTAGTGGTCATTCCAAGAATTGCCCTGCCTTCAGGCCCTTTCTACAATTTAGATCTCCTTAGTGCAAAGTATAGGAAAAAGAAAATTTTACCAACCCTGGCCTTCCTTCCTCCATTATCCTAGACCTTTAGAAAGTTCTTCTTATGGTCTAATTTTTATTCCTCTGGCTACCATGTCAATCAAGTACAACTACCTCTCCCCCTCTTTCACACACCCCTTATCTTCTCTAGCTTTCTTTCCTCTTATTCCTACTCCCTGACTTTCTTCCCTTATTTAGAGCTCTTGACCCTATTCCCTTATTAAGAATCCAAGATTGTGAAAGCTGCAAGGGCTGTCAGATTACTTATTCACCTCCCTCACTTTACAGATGCAGAAACTAAGGCCCAGAGAGAATGCCAGACTTGCTTCACAGCCAGTGAGTGACTGAGGCAGGACCAGAACCTGGTCCATTTTCTGTTTGGTTCTCTTTCCACTATGGCTTGGAATCTTGGTAAACAGACCTGGGTATAGATCTTAGTGCCTCCTGGCCCAATTCCCAGACTCTTGATGAGGTCATTTTGCCCATGCTGGCCTCATGAAGTCTGCACATAGGAGGGATGGGTCTTTTCCAGAGCCAGTAGCCCAGCCTGGTACCTGCCCCTTCCCACCATTTTGAAGAAACTGCTGAATCCACAGGGGGAAGTGAAACTATGATGAGAGACAGAGTTGGGGTAGAGTTTTGAGAGTGACAACCACAGGCTAAGTTTAGAGGACTGAGAGCTTGGGGTCCTCCCTGAGGACCCATGTATCCCCATTTATATCCTATTACAGACCACGATGCCTTTGTCAACGGTCCTTGTTTTCCTGCTGGCTCTGAGCGGAGGCGAGAGTGAGTTGGACACCAAGATCTCATCTCCAGGGGAGGCCACAGAATGGGGAGATCCTGATCCATCCCTGCCAGAGTCCTGCCAGCCAGCTCCCTCCTGCCAGAAGTGCATCCTCTCACATCCAAGCTGTGCGTGGTGCAAGCAACTGGTAAAGATGGGCCTGTGGCCTTTGAACCATGTGTATGTGTGTATGCAGCCTAGGTATACGTGTGTGATTGTGTGGGCACATGTGTGCTTTTCTGGGTGCACTCTGCAGTCCTGTGTGTGACTGAGTTTGTGCACATGGGACTCCTGTGTGTGATTGTGTGTACATGTGCATACACATGCATGCAAGCTTCCTGTGCCATGCACATTATGTCTGTATCTGTGAATCTGTGTATATATGGAGAAGGTTCGTGACCGTGAATCTGGAGGAAGCATGCTCTTGTTGGAACTTATGCTTATGTTTAGGTAGAGGGATCTGTCGTGCAGGTACACATGTGAGAAAGCATATTTATTTCTCAGCTCCGGCTGCCATAACAAAATACCATAGATGGGGTGGATTAAGCAACAGGAATTTATTTCTCACAGTTCTGGAGGCTGGGAAGTCCAAGATCAAGGTGCCAGCTGATTAGGGCCCTGGTGAGCGCTCTCCCTGGCTTGCAGAGGGGCTGAAGACAAGCTCTCTGGTGTCTGTTCTTATAAGGGCACTAATCTCATCATGAGGGTTCTACCCTCATGACCTCATCTAACCCTGATTTCTTCCCAAAGGCCCATCTCCAGATACATCATAGTGGGGGTTCGTCCATAGCAGAAAGTGTATGATTGGGTTTCTGAGTCTGTGTTGTTACCTTCCCAGGAATGTAGCAGCTTGTGACTGGGAGGGCAGGAAGGCAGAAGCGAAGGAGCTGGAAGCTTGTGGGCTTTGGGGGAAAGGCTTGAGCTACCTAAGTGGCCAAGAAGGATGCTGGGGTGTGGGTGACTCTCTAGTTGGTCAAATAAGGCTGTTCTTTGTTTATGCCTTAAAGAGACAGGGCTCAGGAGGGGTGGAACATGAGGGGTGCCCCAGCTGGGGGTGGGGGCGGGGCAGAACTGCCTCTCACAGGAAGATGGAGAGTTAGATGAGATAAGAGATGAGAGCAAACTCAGAGGAGGTAGAGCTACAGAGGCTTAGCGGGTGAGGAAAGGCACATAGTGAATCAGGGGGAGGCAGAGAGCAGAGGTGCCATGTGGGGGCTCTTGGCACAGTCGGGCGGGTGTCTGTCTCCGCCAATCCCCAGACCAGAGGCTGGCACCCGGGCCAGCTGAGAAGCCGCTCTAACCATTTCCTTCCCCTGCGGCTTCCCAGCCAGTCCCAGGGGTACCAGACACATTGCGGGGAGGTGAGCGCCTCTTCTGTCCCTAGCCTTCCCCTTCTCAGGAACTGTGGGTCTTAATCTGACCCCCTTCCCATTTCGGCCTGAGCATGTGGGGGAGGTCGGACTAGGAGGCCAAGCTCCTCCTTTTTTTGTGGTAGTGAGGTCCCCGAGATCTCAACAGGAAGCCTGTGGTCCTAGGGGGAGGGGAAGGGTGGGCTGCTGGAGAAAGGGGGGAGTCGAGATAATGGGGAGAGGGGGGTGCTATAGGAAGTGGGCTCTGACGAGGAAGAAATGACGGGGGTTAAAGGATAGCTGTGGAGGGAAGGGGAGGGGAGGGAATGGGGGGGTCTCAGGGAGTTGACTGAGAGGGGAGGGACTGTAAGGGGCCGCGATTGCAGGGTGGTTCTGGGAGCAGGGCCGGGGGTCTGCAGGGACGCGGGTCCCGACGTGGCCCCCTTGTGGCGCAGAACTTCACGGCATCGGGGGAGGCAGAGGCGCGGCGCTGCGCCCGGCGGGAGGAGCTGCTGGCGCGGGGCTGCCCCCCCGGGGAGCTAGAGGAGCCCCGCGGCCGGCAGGAGGTGCTGCAGGACGAGCCGCTCAGCCAGGGCGCCCGCGGCGACGGGGCCACCCAGCTGGCGCCGCAGCGGGTCCGGGTCACGCTCCGGCCCGGTGAGTCGCTGGGCGGCGGGACTGGGGCGGAGGGCGGGGCTGGGATTTGGATGCGCCCCGCTGACCCACGCCTGCCACCCCCCACGCGCAGGGGAGCCCCAGCAGCTCCGGGTCCGCTTCCTCCGTGCCGAAGGATACCCTGTAGACCTGTACTACCTTATGGACCTGAGCTACTCCATGAAGGACGACCTGGAGCGCGTGCGCCAGCTCGGGCACGCCTTGCTGGAGAAGCTGCAGAAGGTCACCCGTTCTGTGCGCATCGGTGAGCGCGGCGCTGACCGGCACCCTGCCGGCTCTCTGCCTCTAACTTCAGCCGCCGCCTTAGCCTCAGCTTCTGCCAGCGTGCTCGACACACGAGGGCCTCACCTGCCATCTCCCAGTTTTTAATGGGTCGCAGGTTCTTGACATCGCTCCCCAAAGACATCCATCTTCTAGGTCGGAGCTGGAGGGGACTTAAGAGATTGTCCAGTAGGACCACTCATTTTATAGGAGGGGTAACTGAGTCTGGAGAGACTGTTCAGACAGCGCCCAAGGGGTCAGACAGTAACCAGATCGACCCAGACACTGCCCTGATGCCACTGTCTCAGCCATGTCTCTTGGACAAGGCCTAAATGCCACTGTCACTGGCTGCACACTGTGCTAATTTCTCCTCATTCGAGATCCCCTCCTTGCCTCAGGCTGCTACTACACCCTACAGCCTTGTCTTCTTTCTCAGCCTTCAGGAAACCCCTGTCTGACTCCCACTGTGGCCTCCTCTGAATTTCCTCCATCCCCCACTTCTCTGAGCCCAAGTTCTGACCCCTTTGCTCCTGCTGGGTACTGGGTCCCTGCTCTCTAGGAGCTCAGCTCCCATTACCTCCTCTACGACCGTCCTCCCCAGCCCTCACTTCCGTGGTCTCCTCCCTTCCGTGTCCTCAGCAGTGGCTCCTCCATTCTGCTGCTGTCCATTGACTTCTGGTACAGGTTTCATGCCTCCCCTCTCCCAGGCTTTGGCTCCTTTGTGGACAAAACGGTGCTGCCCTTCGTGAGCACAGTGCCCTCCAAACTTCGCCACCCCTGCCCTAGCCGGCTGGAGCGCTGCCAGCCGCCCTTCAGCTTCCACCATGTGCTGTCCCTGACGGGGGATGCTGAAGCCTTCCAGCGGGAGGTGGGACGCCAGAGCGTGTCTGGCAACCTGGACTCGCCTGAAGGCGGCTTTGATGCCATTCTGCAGGCTGCGCTCTGCCAGGTGAGGAGGCAGCGTGGGGATCTGGATCCAAAGGACTGTTTGAGGCCAGGACTGCCATCTGGGGTTGGGCAGTACACAGTTCCAGGGGGTGTGGGTCTTGTCATAGTCACTGTAGTTTGCATATTTATTTTGACCATTTCCTGGTGGACTGGAGTAAAATGTCTTGAGGAAGAGGCATGTTTTTCTAATTCACAAGCAGTCCTCCATGAGCAGCAACCCTGTTTTTGGAGCTGGGGAGGAGCAGGGAGCTGGAGGCAGGGGGATGGACAAACTGACTCAGAATGAGGCTGGCCAAATCCTTGGCTCATAGGGCTGGCTGGGGTGGCTCAAGGGCCACACCCAGGTGCATAGCCTACCCCCACCCCACCCCAGGAGCAGATTGGATGGAGAAATGTGACCCGGCTGCTGGTGTTCACTTCAGATGACACATTCCACACAGCTGGGGATGGGAAATTGGGTGGCATTTTCATGCCCAGCGATGGGCACTGCCACTTGGACAGCAATGGCCTCTACAGTCGCAGCCCAGAGTTTGTAAGTCTCCCCCTCACCCTGCCCCTCCCCATCTGAGCCACACTTCCTCCCCTCCCAGGACCCCCGCCCCCAAGCTTCATTCTCCTTACTGGGCGCCACCCTGCCATCTTCCCCAGCAGTTCCTGCTCTCTACGTCCCCCCGCTGCTGAGGCGGAAACCTGTGTCATCCCACTCCTGGGCCCCTCCCTCCCCCTTGCCAAGCCTCCGGGGTTTCTCCAGCTAGTGGAACCCTGGTTCTTGGATTTCCTGGGCTGAGGGCACCTTGAATGTTGTGGGGGGATCTGTGGTGCTCACCTTGTCCCCTCTCCCTGCCCCAGGACTACCCCTCGGTGGGTCAGGTAGCCCAGGCCCTCTCTGCTGCAAACATCCAGCCCATCTTTGCTGTCACCAGCACCACACTGCCCGTCTACCAGGTGAGAGCTGTCTGAAGGCCACACCCTCCCACCCAGAGCCTCTCTCAATTCCCTCAAAGACCCATTCTCCTCCCCCCATATGCCCTCCTTCTAGACCCCCAGAAGCCCATTTCCCTAGAGCTGTGACCCACCATTTCCCCCAACTCCTCACAACTCAGGAGCTGAGTAAGCTGATTCCTAAGTCTGCAGTGGGGGAGCTGAGTGAGGACTCCAGCAACGTGGTGCAGCTCATCATGGACGCTTATAATGTGAGGGGCCAGGGTCGGGGGAGAATGGTGAGGGTGGGTGCTGGGGGAAGGTGGCAGAGGCCCTCCAGTGGGGTGGCAGAGCTGAGAGAGAATGATCACTTTTCGGTGTATCACTCCAGAGCTCCTACCTCTGGTTTGCATATGGCTGTCGTTAATAGTCCATTCACTCACTCCATCCCACGTCCATCAATCTTAAGTGTCTCATGTGTGCGGGGCATGGAGCCCTGCTCCAGGCAAGGAAGGAAAGTACCATTTGCTGAGCTTTCATCTCAAGCCACGCACTGTCCCAAGTGCACATACTGTTTGCTCTCTCATTTAACCCCCTCAGACCCCTACTTGGGAACCATTATCATCCCTGTTTTAGAGATGGGGATTCAGACACAAGGAGGCTAAGTGACTTGCCCAAGGTCACACAGGTAACAGATGGAAGGGCTGGCATTTGTCTCCCAATCAGTCTGTATGTAAAGAATGTGACATCGGGAACCTGCTTTCACTGAGCTTATAAACAATTCAGAGATATTCTTGGCAGGAACCATAGAATTTTACTGCTAGAAGGAACTACAAAAATTCTTCAGTGTTTCTTGGGTTTAGATCTTCTCTCTGCAACTAGACTGTAGGCTTCTTGATGACAAGAACCCTGTCCTAAACCCACGGCGAGACAACAGGAGACAGTACCGAATTTCCCAGGACAAACTCAATGTAAAGAATCTTCCCTTTAGACTGTGTATGCACACAGCTTATGTGTCCTGATCTGGGGTCTGAAAAACAGCCACCACACGTTCACGTGCCTGGCCAGCCCCGTCCCGCAGCAGGCCCCCCGCTCGCTGCAGCTGCATTGAAAGGCTGCGGTGGAGGCCTCTGCACCCGTGTCCTCCTCTCAGGTTTCTCACAGGGCCTTGCTCGAGAGATGCCTCCTGACCGGGCAGGGTGGAAGGAGCCCTGAGGCGGGCTGACGGCAGGGTTCTGGCAGACTTTGGGGTGGCATGACGTGGGGCTGCAGTGCTGCCCTCACATGGGGACTCCCTCCTTCTCTCCCCACAGAGCCTGTCGTCCACCGTGACCCTCGAACACTCTCCACTCCCTCCTGGGGTCCACATTTCTTATGATTCTCAGTGTGGGGGTCCTGAGAAGAGGGAGGGTGAGGCTGGAAACCGGGGCCAATGCAACCACGTCCGAATCAACCAGACGGTGAGAGCCAGCCAAAATAGGCAGAAGGAAGGAAGTGGGGGTGGGAGGGAGAAATTGAAGCAGGCCAGAAAAGACAGGGGGGCGGCACGGAGAACAAGCAAAAGCATGGGGTAGCCCTCCATTCATCCTCTCTGAAGGGGCTTAACGAGCAGCATCCTCAAGCATGTTTCCAGGAGATGAGTGTTAGCATGACCCCATCCCTCAGTTTACTAAGGAGTAGGGTTCTGAATGATTGGTGTTTGTGGGTGTGTATGTGTGTATGCACCCATGCGCAAGATTTTAGTCTAATTTCTGCCCACTCTGTCCTCAGGTGAATTTTTTGGTTACTCTTCAAGCTACCCACTGCCTCACAGAGCCCCATCTTCTGAGGTTCCGAGCCCTTGGCTTTTCAGAGGAGCTGGTTGTGGAGTTGCATACACTGTGTGATTGTAACTGCAGTGACACCCAGCTCCAGGCTCCCCACTGCAGTGACGGCCAGGGGCACCTACAGTGTGGGGTGTGCAGGTGAGGGCCTCCTCTTCCCCTCACCCATGTGGCTCCCCACAGATGACCAGCACCTGTATTCCTCCTCCTTTGCTTTCCATCCTCCCAGTGGAGTCTCTAGACACCCCAGGACTGCACCCAGAATTTCATCTCCTGAAGCTTCCCTCCCCTCCACCAGAACTCCCTCTACTCTTCTTCTCCCTGGTGCTCCACTATACTCCAGCATCCCTTCAGTCACTCATCTCTCTCCACTCTTGTGAGATCTTGGGTTTAGAGGATCCTGGGAAAGACAGGCCAAGGGATGGTGCAACTCCTTGACCCACCTTTCCCTTCCCCTCCCTCCCCTCTCAGCTGTGTCCCTGGCCGCCTGGGTCGGTTCTGTGAGTGCTCTGAGGCTGAGCTATCCTCCCCAGACCTGGAATCTGGGTGCCGGGCCCCCAATGGGACAGGGCCCCTGTGCAGTGGGAAGGGACGGTGCCAGTGTGGACGCTGCAGCTGTAGTGGACGGAGCTCTGGGCGTTTTTGCGAGTGTGATGATGCCAACTGTGAGCGACACGAAGGCGTCCTCTGTGGAGGTACCTGGGGACTTTGGGGAGAGGGGCGGGCTCAGAGTGGCTCTCCCAGGGGTACTTAGGCTCTGGGAACTTCATGGCACTAAGGGCAACTATCAAAGATTCTTGTGTAGGAGTTGAAGGATGTGTCTGGAACACCTGAGAGGGAATTAGATGCACAGGAACAGGTCAGCTTTAGGCGGCCTGTGGTGGCCACTGTACGTGGGGAGTATGGTTGTCACTCGGTGCATGGCTCTGCCCCAGGCTTTGGCCGCTGCCAATGTGGAGTGTGTCACTGTCACACCAACCGCACGGGCAGAGCGTGCGAGTGCAGTGCGGACACGGACAGCTGTGTCAGTCCTGAGGGAGGGCTCTGCAGTGGGCACGGACACTGCAAATGCAACCGCTGCCAGTGCTTGGACGGCTACTACGGTGCCCTATGTGATCAGTGCCCAGGCTGCAAGACACCATGCGAGAGACACAGGTGAGGCCTCAGGTCTTGCATCTTGGGGACAGGGGCACAGTGGGGCTCCCTGAACCACTCCTACCAGCCTGCTCTTTCCTGCATGTGGTGTGGGTGACAACTGCCCAGCTGGTAACTTACTGGCGTCTACTGGACAGGGACTGTGCAGAGTGTGGGGCCTTTGGGACTGGTCCTCTGGCCACCAATTGCAGCGTGGCTTGTGCCCATGCCAACGTGACTCTGGCTTTGGCCCCTATGCTGGATGATGGTTGGTGCAAAGAGAGGACCGTAGACAATCAGCTGTTCTTCTTCCTGGTGGAGGATGAAGTCGGAGGCAGGGTCGTGCTGCGAGTGAGACCCCAAGAGAGTAAGTAGGCAGGGATGCTGTGGACATGCCAAAGAGAGCCCTGGAAATTTTATGGGCAGGGCCTTAGTTGGGGATGGGGTCAGGATAAGGGGAAACCAGGCTAGGCCTTGAAGCAGAGCTGCGAATCCAGGCAAAAGCAGAGGTGGTGGACCAAGTGGACAAGGCTAAGCTCTGGGCGCTGAGAATAATCCTGCTGGGTTCCCATGTTTTCAATGACAGGCAGGGCTGGGCAGGCTGGATGGGTTGGGACATACTTGTGGGCGACTGTTGATCAGTGCCTATGTCCCAGCCCCCAGAAGTCTGTTGTTTCTTTCCCATAGAGGGAGCAGACCACACCCAGGCCATTGTGCTGGGCTGCATAGGGGGCATCGTGGCAGTGGGACTGGGGCTGGTCCTGGCTTATCGGCTGTCGGTGGAAATCTATGACCGCCGAGAATACCGTCGCTTCGAGAAAGAGCGGCAGCAACTCAACTGGAAGCAGGTGAGGAGACTCCGCCTGCTGCCCCACTGGTTGGGTCTTCCTGGCTTTCCCTGGAGGGCAGGGGGCTCCACTTTCCTCTCTGCTTCCCCCCAACCCCGCGCTCAGCCCTGCCTCCGCCCACCCAGGCCCCGCCCCTCCGCCACTTCCCTCGGCTCCTAGGGTCCAGCTCAGCTCTTGGCTGGCCTCGGGACAAGATAGAGGAGGAGTCGTGGACTTTTCCTCATCACTTCCAACCTCTTCCCCCAGGACAGCAATCCTCTCTACAAAAGCGCCATCACAACCACCGTCAACCCCCGCTTTCAAGAGGCCGACAGTCCCCCTCTCTGAAGCGGGAGGGACCCTCACCCCAGGGCTCTGCTCGCCGGGAGGATAGTGGGAACTGGAGGGGCGGGGTCTAACGGGCAGCAGCCTGGGAGGGGACTAATCCAGAGCAGAGTGGCCACCACCTCACTTCATTCTCAGGGACACCCCCGAGGGCCGCCTACTGCTGCAACCTTGCTTCCCTACCTCACGGGAGTGGGGGTCACCCCACCCACGTATACAATAAAGTCTTACCTCAGAGCACAGCCGTCACTTTGCTTCACCCCAAGGCCAAAGCAGGCTGCGGAGCCTGGGCCTGGGCAAGCTCCCCTTCCTTCCTCCTCCTGCCACTCGAGGGCAGGGGCCAGTTCTCACACTTGAAGGTGCAGGAGAATCACGACGCGGCTGCGCGGGAGGCAGCTGGGGTGTGGGCGAGCGGATTCTCGGGTCACGCTGCTGGAGGAGCACCCAGACCACACTTTGAGAAACACTGCACTGCTGCTATCTAACCTCATTCGGGCCTGCTGTGCCCGCTTTTTTCTTACTCAGAACCGATACCCTGTTTCTACTTCTACCTGTTGCTCCTTTGTGGAGAAGGGGAGGTTTAAGGGTGCTGGGAGTTGTGGGGCGGGTATAATTGGGGGGGAAAAAAGGAAAACCACTTTGGCTCCAGTGAAAAAGCTTCCCCAAACGGGAGATAGTACGTAGAAAAGCCCCATTTTCTTTTTATTTAAATATCCTAAATATATCACGAAGGAACATACACTGCACTTTAATGGTAAAAAGATAACAAGTTTATAACATCTTATAAAAACTACCATTTAAAAGTGATCTTGTTCATTTGATATTCCCCTCCCCCAATAGCAAAATAAGTATATTAAAAAAAAAAAAAGGGTGGAGAGGAAGGGTAGGAGGGATTGTTAAGATAAAAGCCCCATGGCCACAGCAGAGGCAAAGAGCGTCTGGGGAGAGGGTTACAGGTTGTGACGGACTCCATGCCTCATTTAACCCTCCACTGTCAAGCCATGGGGCACAATCAGTAGCTAAGTGATGACAAGAGGCTGTTAGGGGTGGACAGAAGAGACTTGGGGTGCTGGGAAGGGCAGGGCTGGCCACCTAGGAACTGGCCCACTCTTCCCCAGGTCCCAATTTCCACCTCCTGGTCTCTGAGAGCCTGTCCTGTCTCCCTTTCCCTTCACTCCCAACACACCTGAGGCATCTTTCCAGTGCTAGACCCCACCCCAGCAAGGAGGGCGGGGCATCGGGCCCAGGAGCCTTTGCAGCGGTCTTAGTCTGTGGTTTCCCTGGGGTATAGGTGGGGCTCCTGGGTCCTCTGGGCCCTACGTCACTCGTCACTCCTTTGACCTCTTTGCTCCTCTCCACACACATCAACAGCCCCAGAATACCAGCACCTGGACAACTGAACTAACCACCTGCTCCTGAGTTTCTCCCACACCCGATCCTCGGCGGGGGCGGTTCTGGATGGCCCTTTGCACAGACGTTCAGAAGTGCCCTTTCTCCCACCCACCCAGGCAGGAAGCTGCAGGCTGCAGGGGGCCAGGGCACATTCTGACCTAAACACACACTCACACAAGGTAAGGGCACAGATCACTCATGTGAGTCTCTCCACTCACAACCCCACCCTAAACAGATTAGCTGCAAGTGGCAGGGGGAGAGGCCTCTCACTTTCAAAGCCACTCTTGGGAGGACAGTTTTCTAAATGTATCCTCCTTCCCAGAATATATTCCCAGAGGTGCATGAGAGACAAATTCCAGCCCCGCAGAGCCCTTAAAAAGGAAGGGGGCTGGCTCCCACGGAGAAAGATGCTCTGCCTGCAGGAACCACAGGGCAAATCCAAGGATTGAGGTCCAGGTCCTGGACCACCTCAGATGGGAGTGCCAGCATAACGGCAGACACATTCCCAGCGTCTCCCCCAAGGCTCTTGATGCCATCAGGGACCATCTAAAGGGTGCCAAGCCTCTTTTCTTCTCCCCTGAAATCCTCACCACTCGGAGGTACAGACGACCGCCCCCTGCCCCCATCTCCTCTGGAACAGGTAACAGTTGGGAGTATGCTGCGATTCTCTACATTTTCTGGGAAATGCAATCATACCTTCTGGAGGTTGCCATCTCAGATCCCCACTGACAACCTGGTCAGGTTCACCCAGTCTCCATGATTACTCACCCCACAGGTCAGGGCAGGCCCAGTGGGGGTCAACCAAACCCCCAAAACCTCCCATAAGACCCTTTCCTTAGCAGGAACAGTTTTTTATTTCACTTTTAAAAAATTCATGTTCACAAGCCCTGGCTTGGGTTAGGAACACCCTAACCACCAGCCTGCTGAATCAATCTTAAAAAACCCTCTAAAACAAAGCCCTCCAGTCCCCTAAATTGAGTTCCCCAGCTCCTGCCGGAACCTCAAGCACCCTTCAGGTTTGGGGGAGGGGGGAGAGGATGTTTTATGCTCATCCTCCCCTAAGTTGAGGGCCAAAGAAGGGTTTGGCTCAATAATATGCCATCTCCAAGCATACAAACATGAACACTCACATACCAGACACACACACACACCCCTGATCACTTTTTTGGGGGTGGATAGGGTAGTGGTGTTGGAGCAGAGAGGAGCAAAGAATATGGTTAAGAATAAAACCTACGTTAGGTTTCTTCCTCAGTCCTTTCTCTGCTGCACTTCCTCCCCCCAGTTCTTTGTTGGGTAGGGATGGCCATCAAGAAGGAAGCCAAGACCTTGTTCTTTGGGACCACAGGCCAGACCCCTACTTCCTCTACCTGAATATAGTGATAGGACTTGGGCAGGGGGAACCGCTCCTCCTGCTCAAGGGGCATCTCAGGGGACACCAAATCCCTTTGTTACTTCAACAGTTGTTACTCAACTTGGGACTAGTCTTGGGTTGTTTCTAAGAGGGCACAAGGAGAGAGAACCCATTTTGACATCCATGACTCCCTGTCAACACCTCTGTCTGGCTTAGGAGTCAATGGCAGCGAGGTAGCCACAAACTATCTCCAAGATCAACTTCCCAAAGAGAGAAACAAAGGGCTTCATGGGCCACTCTCACCCAAGTTTCCTCCCAAAGGCACTTGAGCTGACCCCATTAGGTACCAGTGTGGCATGGGCCATCACCACACCCATGGGCACAACTCTCGCTCTTCCCTGGAGGAGATAAGAGGCACCTGGCCACTCTGCTTGGATCCAGCCCTTGTCTGCTCCTCCCCCCATTCTTCCTTTTGTCCCTACAGTGTATGAGGCCAAAGTAAGCTCAGCTGCCGTCCCTGATCCTGTTCTCCTTCAAACAGGAAGTGAGGTGCAGGGCTGTGGAACATTGAGGATCAACTGCAACTAAAAACTCCATTTTGGGGGAGGGCTGGACAAGCCGTAGTCCCTAGTTTGAACTAGGACTCTCTGCCTCCAGATTACCTGTATCCACAGTGCACCTGCTGAAATTGCTTTTGGATAAACAAAAACAAGAACAGAACAGACAGACAAACCCCTCTCCCCAATCTTTTCCATTTCAGCTGCCAGCTGTAGTCCAAGGTTGTGAGAGCCACACTTCAGTCTTGGTCCTGTACCTTGAGTCCCCACCATGACCAGAGCCAAGGGTCCAGGGACTAGCTTCCCTACCCAGGAATGCTGGAGGAACTCCCCCGAGATACTCATAGTCTCAGATTATTTACAGAGCTCAGGCTCTGGGGCCACTGTCCCCGGAAGCACTCTTCTGGTCTCCTGGGTCCACTCCTCCAGGAGGGGGACAGGTACAGACGGGGTGGTGGTGGGACCATCAGACCAGAGGGGATGCGCTCTTCAGTAGATTCTTCTGATCACTCCCACCACCCAGGGCCCCTTGCGCCTATAGAGAAAACTGCCCGTCGGAAGTCTTGGACTGGCACCCTTGGCACATCCGTTTGTGTCTGAGTAATCGATCTGTCCGAGAAAAACACTGAGAAGAAAGGGAGGGTTAAGTGCCTGAGAGGAGAAACTCTACCTGTAGGCTACATCTGTCTTCCCCACTCAGGAGGCACACACCGTCCCATTCTGCACCACCTCAGCACGTACCCAGGTGGCACAAGTACACACGGTTAGGAACTCAAGCTCTGGAGTCTGAGTCCTGGCTCTACCACTGAGCAGCTGTGTGACCTTGGGCAAGTGAGCTGACAGCCCTGAATCTGTAAACTCTTCTGTAAAATGGGGCTAAAAGTACTTCCTCACAGAGGAGCGGCTTTCTTTATCACATATTTATTGAGTATCTATCTCAAGGCAGGTCCAGTTCCTGGGGCTGGGGACAGAGTGGAGAACCAGAGAGACAAAGCCTCTGTCTCAGGGAGCTTTCGTTCTAGCGTTCTGAAGGTTCAATGCAAGAGCGTGGAGCACAGCTGGAGACCCAGCAAAGCCTTCAGAAAGTCCTAGCTGTTAGTGTTTCTCATCTCTTGTTCTTGTCTCGTTTTGGTCCTGGCTCTTCTATTCTCATTGGATCAGATACTGACCCCCAGGGCAGAGATTCTCTCCCCTCCTCCAAAGTGCACCAGCTCTGAAGTTCAGTTGAATCCCAGCTCTGCCCTTGATCTGCTGTGTCCTTGAGAAACTTAGCTCCCTGAACCTCAATTTCCCCATATGTGAAACGAACACAACACAGCTGCCTTATGGAGTTAATATGAGGATTAAATAAAATAATCTATATCAAGTATGCTCTCACAGTGCCTGGCACAGAGTAAGTACTCTAGAAATACTGCTATTATTATTATTATTATTACTACAATTATTCTAATGGCCCCTCCCCATGGTCAGTTGCATAAGACCAGAGATACCCCTCACCCTGAGGTACTAACTCTATCGTGGCCAGGAATGCCAGGTGGCCCCTTGTCAGGCAGGGAGTTCTCGGGGTTCTTGGGGAAGGAAGAGTCTGTGCACAGGGGTGGATGGCTGACACGTGAGCTTACCTGATGACACCGTTCACACTGGTAGGGCTTTTCCCCACTGTGTACACGCTTGTGGCGCTCCAGGTGGTACTTCTGGATGAAGCGCATATCACATATATCACACTCAAATGGCTTCTCGCCTGGCCCAGGTGGAGACAGAAGTTAATGTCAGAAGGTATACCTGGCAGGGGCCTCATTCCAGGTATTTTCCCAGAAATTTTAACTTTTAGCAATGTGTAGACATCTAATGGGGAAGGGTCCTCAAAGATGTTGGTCTTAGTGACACTAGATACAGAGCCAGGCAATCTCTCTACCTCATTCACGTACCTTCTTCCTCTATGTCTAATACTTACTCTTTAAAATAAACCCAACAAGAGCTACACACGCAATACAAACCACAGACTATTCTCTCGCTTTGAATATGAGCAAGAGACTTACCGGTATGAATAAGGATGTGCCTCTTGAGGTGGTAACTGCTCCTAAATGCTCCAAAGCAGTGTTCACAAACAAAATTTTTGGGAATCTTTACTTGAAAAGAGCCATTTTGTTCCACTACCACCACCTGGGGGCAAGAATCAGGCAGGTCACAAGGCTGTCCCTCTGCCCCCTTCTGCTCCGGGTCTGCTTCCAGCTGTGGCATGAAGCTACCTCTCCACTGCTGTCCTCCCCCCTCCCCTTAGGGTTAAGAGGCCCTCTGGGGAAGGAGGCAGGGTGGCTGAGCAGTCTGCCTCATCAAACCCCACACTCTGAATGCAACGGGGGTGGGGGGTTGGGAGTCGGCCTGCCCTCTGCCACAGGACCACATGCTCCCTACAGCTTCTTCCTTTCCCAAGGATGTTCTGCAGAGGGCAGAGACAGCTACCAAAGTGGTCCTTGGAGGAATTCAGGGAGACACACTCACTGCCTATGAAGGACCAAAATATCCAGGGAAAGCTGCAGGGTGAGCCATAGGGGAAGAAGAGAATTATCCCATTACCAAACTATACCAGTGTGGGGATTACCCCATTACCTGCCTTTTTAACAGTCTTTTTTGAATGAGAGGCCTCGGCCAAGCTGTCATCATCTTTGCGGCTCCTGGACTTATCGCTCTCTTTTCGGTGGCCCTTTGAACACAAATCGAGTCTAAACTCACAGTCCATCTCGGAACACAAGAGAGGAGAAATGCTGCTTTCAAACACTTTGTATATGAGAGTAAGCCACCTGCCCCAAAGGCTTAGAAAAAGTACTCCTCCGAGTCCTCTCCAGTACTCCGATGTGAAGGGGTTGTAGGTACAGAGAAGACCCTCCTTAGCTCTCTGAAATACCCATGTTCGTCCAGTCCCCAGCTGGATCCCTTTCCCCACTTCTCTAAACAGAAGCACTGAGGAATCAAAGCTTGGCATCTCCTGGCAGAGAGCTGGGCCACCCGACCCCCAGGTGCCGCAATGGACTCAAGCGCTGTACCTGACTCGAGCACCTCAGCACATCAGGGCTACCTGCCCGCTCTCCATTCTCGGCCTGCTTGCTGGCAATCTGGCTCAGCATCATCTTCTTGCTGGCTGCAGTGGGAACCAAACTCACACCTGCTAGGCCTTCACAAGCCAGGAGACTTGCCTAAGTTGAAAGGAGATGAGGTGTCAGGTCACCTGGCAGGGCAGGGCACAAACAGGCTGCCATCCCCTATAGAACTACCTTTTACACCCAGCTACAAACTGCTTCTCTCTAGGGAGGGTCCCTCGTCACCGCAAAACCCTGCTTCCTGGGGTCAGCCCCATGGCTGAGTGGATAAGTTCGCGTGCTCCACTTGGGCAGCCCAGGGTTTCGCCGGTTCGGATCCTGGGCGCAGACCTAGCACCGCTCATCAAGCCAAGCTGAGGCGGCATCCCACATAGCAGAGTCAGAAGGACGTACAAGCAGTATATACAGCTATGTACTGGGGGGTTTTGGGGAGAAGGAAAGAAAAAGAAGATTGGCAACAGATGTTAGCTCAGGTGCCAATCTTAAAAAAAAAAAACCACCCCTGCTTCCTTCAAGAGTCCTCCCTAACTCATCTCACCAAGAACTAGTTACTTAGTCAGCCATCAACATTTAGGATACAGATCAAGTGAATAATCAAGCTATTAGCGACACTTTTGTCATTAGCACTGTGCTAGGTACAGTGTACTGTGTGTGTGTGTCTACACAATACTTCAAAGTATTTCCAGGTCTTGTGAGCAGGCATGAGGGTCTGTCCTGCTCTCAACAAGAAATGGGAAATTTCTGGGGAAACTTCCTCCTTCTTCTCTCAGTGGCACTCAGCATCACATAGCCCACTTCTGACTGGCAGACCTCATTGGTGCCAACTATCTATCCTCTCAGGTCCCACAAATATGTTTATCAGTAAAATTAGGTCATTTCTCCCTTTAGATTTTAAATTCCCTGAGTGTTGTCAATTATAACAGATATAAAAATTAAACCACTTGGAAGGACTTTGGAGTTGAATATACAATTTGCTTGACCCCCCAGGCCATTTATATGTGTGCATATCCAGATTTCTTCACATTCCCTGCTCTACATATAGTTGAAAAATTACTTAAGCAAGGTATGTTTAAGAAAGCTTTCTCTTTTCACTGCTACATTCTCCAAGCTGACTTGGTTTAGCCAGCACTAGAGAATATACTTTTCTTACTGAAAAAACACTTTTAAGAACTAGTTGGTCAGCATATTTCCATGAGTGATTTACAAAGAAATTCTTTTTAGATGGTTAGTATATCCTGGGACCCCTTCTCTCCCCTTCAAAGACTTTGGATTGATAGGTTTAGAGGTAACAAAAAATTTAGCTTTGCTATTTGCACTGTATAATCTTGGGCAAATTACTCCACCTCTTTAAGCCTCAGTTTCTTTAAATGCAAAATGTTTATTCACAGTATCTATCCGACTTACAAGGCCGATGAGACTTAAACTAAGATGTAAAATGCTTATCAATGCCCAGTACAAAGTCCGTGATTAGTGAAACGCAGTCTTCCCAGAACAAGAGTGAATATACGATGCTGTGAAGTGGGTTGCAGACAAAGGAAGAAGAAACTGAAGGGCTCCTACTCTGCATGGAAAGGAGGAAGCTGTGCGTGCAGCTGGAAGAAAGCCACTTATATTATCATCAGGCTGCCATCTTGGTGAGACTGGTAGAGGAGGGTCCCTGGAAGAAAGCTGGGAGAAACTCTGGGGATGTGAGCACTTGGCTTTTCTACCCACACAGCTACAACAGCCTATCTGGTCATCCTGTCTCTCCAATCCATCCAGTACCCCCACAATGACAAGTGCCTTCTAAATACACTGATCTGGCATCATTCCGCTGCTCAACACTCTTCAGAGAGAGTTTCCACTCCCTACAAAGTCTAATTCCTTATCAAGGTATAAAAAGTCCTTGAGTTATATTCCGCTCACTTCTCCAGGAAACAACTCTCTCATCCTAACTTTTCCGTCCATCACTGTCTGTCCTATTGCCTAACCACCCCCCCATTTGAACCCTTTTCTCCTTAACTAGCCAACTACCTACAGAGCTTCTCACCTCATCATTCTCCCTGCCTCTAAGCCTCTGCCCACACAGTTCTCCTTGTCTGAATGCCCCGTTCTGCTTGTTTAGCTAGCAAAATCCCATGCATCCTTCAAGCTTCATCTTTTCATCCAGGCAGCTGTATCATTCTCTCCTCTGCAGCGCACATACCTCTATTATTGCACATTCCTTCAATCAATGGATTCCCTGAGTCTCTACCTACTAGCCAGCCGCTATGCAAGGTGTTGTGAATACAAAGATAAATAATAAACTTGTGTCTCCATCTCCCCCCACCTCAACTAGCCTAGAAGCTTGCTGGGGACAGGGACGATCTTATTAATCTTTGTATCCCCAGCACAATGCCCTGCATGTAACAGGAGCCCAATAAATTCCTGTTAGAAAAAACAAACGAGGCATTCACCAGACTGTTCACTCCCTCATGCCCCTCAGCACTTAAGGTATGCAGGGTAAATTGAGTACATGTTGCTTTGCAAATGTCCCATCAGTGCCTGTGATGCAGTATAGCCTACCTCCTTCATTTGACTGGAAGCTCCCTGAAGGCAGGGGCTGTGGCCTGTCTCCTTTCCTTCCTCTAGATCTCCCCCTGGTGCTTAATACAGAGCTTGGCTCACTGGGTTGGTCAATGTGTTGACTAAGGCAGCATTCAAGAGAGAAACTGCAAACACGCTTCCCAGTGATCTTGAAGGAGGAGGACTCTAGAGCTTTTTACCTGAGCCATGCTGATTTCTCACTTAAAGCAACCCAAAAGTTCAGGAGTTTCTTGATCCACCTTTCCTTAAGACACTTTCGTTTGAAGAACTGTCACCAAATCACTGTAACAACTCCTTTGTGTCCTTTCAGTCCTGCTGCCATATTGAACTGCCTTTGTCTTCAAATAGAATTTAGTGTCCTCCAAAGGGAAGATAGCTGTTCCAAGAATCCCCGGTCTCCACTTGGCTCCTGCCTAACGTCTGAAGAAAAAGAGTCTGCCAGTCTTCGTCTTCCAACTGAATTCTGTCGATGAAGTTCCCGATCTGTTTCAGCAACCTGAAACCAGAAAGGGAGATGGGACTATTAGGTACAAAATCCTCAGGCCATACGACCTGTAGTGGGCTGAATCTGTTTTTTCTTTTTTGCCGGGCGCTCTCTTCGAAGCTCAGAAAGAGGACATTAGTCAAGAAGAGTTTTCTTTCTGGGTCAACAGAAGAAACTGGTCTCCTGGGCAAGGAGGGGCGGCCAACAGGAGCAAAAGTAACTGAAGCCTCCTCTGGAGAAACTGCAACAGGCAACTGCTAGGATTTGCCAGCAGGAAATGGAAGAAGGGGGCGGAGGCCCTTCGGGGCTTTTGCGGCGAGTGGGCCGGCCCGCGGAGCGCGCACTCTATTGAGGCGGCTGCAATTGGGGTGGAGAAACGCTCAGGGGCGATCGCTGGGCGCTCGGGGAGCGGGCAGAAACCCGACAGGCAGTGCGCGCCCGGGCCGCCCCACATGTGCGCGTTCTCCGAATCCTCCTGAAGGTACGGAAACTCGCTACGGAGGGGGAAGGCAGACAGGCGAAGCGCGGCGCTGCGCATCCCCTCCCTTCCTCCAGCCAGCCAGCCAGCCAGCCAGCCAGCCTGCCAGCCAGCCAGCCAGCCAGCCAGCCAGCCGCTGCGCCCGCCGCACGAACCCACAGGAGAGCCCGAGAGCGCGGAGCAGCGCGCGAGGTGCGTGCTCGCGCCCGCGTCCCCTCCGAACAAGCCCCCTCTCCTGGGCCGGGGACGCGGTCGGGCTGGAGGACGCGCGGGCGGAGGGCAGTGCGCGCGCCCCTTCCCTCCCGGCGAGCCCCCTCCCTTCGCCACGCGCCCCTCCTCCCTTCCCCTCCCCCTTCCCGCGCGGCGCCCCACGGCCTGCGAGCTGCCCCAGCGCTGCCGTCTGACCGCACGACGCTGCGCGCCCTGGGGCGTGCTCCTACCTGCCAGGCGCGGCCTCCTGCTGTCGCCCCTGCCGCGGCGCGTCCTCTAGGCCCCAGCACCCCGTGCCAACCCCGTGGCCGCCGCTGCCCCCGCCGGGACCGAGGCAAGTTTACAAACACCAACCCGGGGCCCGTTTCCCCGGAAGCACTTCCCCCTCCCCCTCGTCCTCTTCGCCGAGCAGCAACATCCACTTCCGGGCTCGGGAGCCGGGACGGGCGGGGGCAGTCAGAAAGGGGGTGAGGCTGGGGACGCACAGAGGGGGTGCAGCTGGTGTGTGGGCGGGGCCGGCGCGCGGACGGACGGGAAGGGGGCGGGCCGGCAGTACGGCGCGTGCGCCGTCTTGCGGGCGCGCCCCGGTGGCCATCTTGACTGAGGGCAGGAACGAAGGCTTTGCAAAGGTTGTTCGCTGGTTGCTCGTTGAGAGGTTTTGCTAGGTGAGCTGGTTCAGACTCCTTGAAAAAGCGCCATCAGTCTCCCTTCCTTGCGGACGTTATCCCTGTCGCTTCTGATCCTGGAGCCCCATATAAGGCCAGAATAGTTCATACCTGGCCTTTTCAGGCCCAGATGTGCAGATTCTGGGGTCGCCCCGTTAGCTGGGAGAGGAGTTAACTTTTTTGCACACTCCGGCTGAGTGCGCTCAGCCCCAGTCTGAAAATGGGTGCCCTGGCCGCGGTGTGCGACCCCGAAGTCAGTCTGGTTACTTTATGCCGCTTCCCCTTTATTCCAGACCGTCCAGCGTCTAACACTGGCCTGGCCTGGTAAAAGCCCCAGGACTCCCCTCGGTAGGAGACTGTAGTCTTGTTGCAGACTTGACGACGCAGGGTGGTCCCTAGACCCGGTTGCACTAGGAAAATGGAAACTTGAGCCTTTCTGCAAATTCTACCCCAACTTTAGCTGGTGGGGAGGGGTCCTGCCAAAGATGGACTATGCCAAGTGCGCTTGATGGAAAGAAATTTCGATTCCATTTAGGCCCCAGCTTCTGCTGTAGGTGCTTTCAGGTTGCGAGTTAGGAGAATTAATGGGGATACCAAAAGAAAAAAAAATCTTTATTTATGAAAGAAGACAATTTCCAGACGCTGTTTGTACACAGATTTCATTTCCCTGAGTTCTCCATGTTTTGAGCCATTGTCATTGTGCTCTTAGGATCATCATAAAATTGAGATAAAATGGAGATAGAGAAAAGTAATCAGAAGTGTCTTTAATTTTTAAAAAATTAGCTTATACTTATTTTAATAAATCCACAGAACACAAAAGAATAAAAAGCAGAAAATGTTTGGTTTCTCCCTTTACTATCCCATGCTCATAAGGTAGTCACTTTTATCAGTTTGGTGTGTATACCTCCAGGTTTTTTTCTGTGTTCATACAAAAATATATATTTTTTATCCAGAACACACTTCTTGAGCACCTATAATGCACCAGGACCCTGTGCCAACCTAAGAGTGTATCTTAGACATCTTCTAAGTCAGTTCATATTTTTTAAATTGTTGCGTAGTATCCAAACTTATGTTTGTATTTTAATTTGCCTGGACCCAACCTGATGAACATTTAGGTTAGTTTCAGGTTTTTTTGTTTTGTAAACAATGCCGTAATGAACATCCTTCTATAATTATCCTTTTGCATCTATAGATAGATTTGTAGAGAGGATATTTGCATTTTAAGTTTTTAATAGATTCTGTGAAATTGAATTTCAGAAGTTTGTACCAGTTTGCATGCTTACTCAGAGCCATGTGTGAATGTTCACAATTCCTGCAACCTTGGCAATACTGGACGCTGTGAATTATTATTATTTTTTTTTTTTGAGGAAGATTAGCCCTGAGCTAACATCTGCTGCCAGTCCTCCTCCTTTTGCTGAGGAAGACTGGCCCTGAGCCCATCTGTGCCCATCCTCCTCTACTTTATATGTGGGACGCCTTCCACAGCATGGCTTGCCAACCGGTACCATGTCCGCACCTGGGATTGGAACCGGTGAACCCCGGCCCACTGAAGTGGAACGTGTGCACTTAACTGCTGTGCCACCCAGCCGGCCCATGAACTTTTTATACAGTTGCCAGTTTGATAGGTGAAAAATAGTAATTTCATTGTTTTTTTTTAAATTTCTTTTCTGTGAGGAAGGTAGGCCCTGAGATAATATCTGTTGTCAATGTTCCTGTTTTGCTTGAAGAAGATTGTTGCTGAGCTAACCTGTGTGCCAGTCTTCCTCTATTTTATGTGAGACACCGCCACAGCATGTCTTGAAGAGCAGTGCTAGGTCCGTGCCCAGGATCTGAACCTGTGAACCTCTGGCCATGCACAGCAGAACATGCGAACTTAACCACTATGCCACTGGGCTGCCTCCAGTAATTTCATTGTTTTAATTTGCATGTTATTAATAGTGAGGTTGAGCATCTCGTTGGTTTTTGACCATTTTAATTTTTTTTTTGAGCTGCTTGTTCATATTTTTTGCCCAGTAAGGAAAAAAGTAGATCATTTTGTCCATTTCTTATTGGTTGGTAGAGATCTTCTCTGTTACATTAACTTTTTATTTGTCATATGCATTTAAAATATTTTCTCTTAGTTTTTCATTTATCTTTCAACTTTTTTTTTAGAACAAAAGTTATGCTTTATGGGAAAATATTTGAAACATTCCAATCAAAGATAGAAACAAGACAAGAATGTGTACCATCAAAACTAATATTCTGCTAGAGCTCCTGGCCACCCAAAGTGTCATTATTTTCATATGATGTAGACGTCTACAGAAAGAATCGATTGACAAAATACTAAAACTAGTGAGTTCAGCAACATGGTCCGATGTAAGATTAACAAACAAAAATTGTATAAATAAAATATAAGAACAATAACGAACCATAAAAATGTCATAGAATAAATGATCTCATAATAAGAAATATTACATTTTTAGAAATAGAGTTAACAGGAAACTGCAAGTTGTATATTAAGAAAGTGAGACTATTTTAGTGAAAGACAAAAAGGGCTTGGTTATATGTCCGTGAATAGGAAGACTTACTGTTGTAGAGATACAAGTTTTTGCTCTAGATTAAGTTAAATTCTAATTCAAACAAGACTTTGCATGGAACTTAAGCTGATTTTAAAATTTAGGTAGAAAGGAATAATTGCAAGAGAAGCAGAAACCATTTTGGAAAACATTGAGTGGGTCAAATAATGAGTGGGAAAAAATAAAGCCATGAGGTATCTTTAACCACTTTAAAGGTGTCTTTCTTGACACAGAATTTTGAAAGTTTTACATAGTCAAATCTGCCTGTGGCTTTTAGGTTTTTGTGATATGCTATCTCAAGATTATAAAAAATATTTCTCTGTATTTCCTTGTGGTATTCTTATAGTTGTGTATTTTCAGTTTATGTCTTCATCTGAGCTGCAGTTCACTTTTGTGTATGGTGAGAGGTAGTGAGAACTGCCAGAATTAAAAGGGACCAACAACGTGGTGGGAGAGGTCCTAGCCCAGAAGTCAGAAAATCAGCAATCTGGGCCTTCTCCCATGTCACCTTTGGAATCTTGGACAAATTAGTTCACTCTTTCTGGCCCAAGAGTCCTCATCTTGAAAACAAGGATGAATAAATAAATAACTTTTCAGGCTAATTTCTAGCACTGCCCTGAGGATCAAATGAGATCATAGATGAGAAGACTTTGAGAAGAAAAAAAAGCCCTTTGTGAATCTTCTAAGTTGTCATTAATACAGATTTTTTGTTTATGCAAATCAAATGTAAGTGGAAATGTGGCATTATTTTTCAGTACCTGGAATAGTTGGTTGATTCACCAAGTGTTTATTTCGTGCCTTTGTGCAAGACCTTGGGAGAAGGGAGTGGAGACTCAAAAAGATGAAAACTAACATTATTTTTGTATTTAGTGCTTTACTTAAAGAAGGATAAGACTTAGGCCTCTCTCCCCAGGAATTTACCATCTGGAAGAGGAGAAGACAGAGTACCCTTAAGGAGAATTTGTGCCTCTGTGAATGTGGGTGTTGAGTCAGTGGGCTTTGTTAATAGGTACACAGCTCAGAGGTCAGTGTTTGCACTTCTCACGACAAGCTTGGCTGAAACTGCTTAAGAAGCAATGGCCTGATCCCTTTGCCCACAGGCAGGCCTCCTCCCACGTGACCTTACCTCACTTCCTTGGCACACTCTTCCCTCAGGCCCAGCCCATCTTCTTCAAATAGTAGTGTAATAATTACCGATTAGTCTTTTCCTGCACCAGCTTTCTATGGCCTTTAGGAGAGCCTGAGTGTTTTCTCTTTGAAGGCTGCCCTGGGCTAACTGAGCAGAATTAACCAGCTGGCTTTCTTCGTGACTGGTCCACTCTCTTGAGGTGAGCATGCCTTTATTTTATGCGTGGGCCTCCCTGCTGGCCAGTTAGCTGGGACACATAGGGCAGACACAGCACCCGGGTTAGTGCCGGGCTACAGAAGTAGGTACTCAGTCACTCTTTGCTGAACTAGCTGAACCTGTTCCTCTCTCTGAGAGCCAGTTGGGCTGTGTAATAAAAGTGAGCAGTATGTGGTTACCTTTGTTACCCGTTGGACCTTTTTGATGATAGTGCATCGAGGAGTTGGGAAACCACATGACCTACTAGGGCCATTCCTTGAGTCTGGCGATTTGTACATATTGAAATTCTTGTTGCCCCTTAATTCCTCCTTAATCTTTTTTGTTGCTTAAAAATAACCTTCAGGGGCCGGCCTGGTGGCTTAGTGGTTAAGTTTGCGTGCTCCACTTTGGTGGCCCAGGGGACACAGGTTCAGATCCTGGGTGCAGACCTACATACTGCTGATCAAGCCACACTGTGGCAGCATCCCACGTACAAAATACAGGAAGTTTGACACAGGTGTTAGCTCAACGACAATCTTCCTCAAGCAAAAAGAGGAAGATTGGCAACAGATGTTAGCTCAGGGCCAATCTTCCTCATCAAAAAACAAGAAACCCCCTTTATTTGAATTACATAAGTAATATGAAGTTATTGTATAAAATTATAAAAATATAGAAGTGTATAAATAAGAAAATGAAAATCTATAATTCCCAAAGCTGGAAATAACCAGAGTTAGTATTTTGAAGACTTTTTCCATCTTTTTCAGTCTTTGAAAAAAAGGATGGGGAGTGACTGCAAATAGGTAAGGGGTTTCTTTTGGAGTGATGAAAATATTCTGGAATTAAATAATGTGATTGATGCACAACTTTGTGAATATACTAAAAACCACTGAATTGTACACTTTCAAAGGGCAAACTTGATGGATGTGAATCGTATCTCAATAAAGCTGTTATTGTTCTAGAAATGTTTGTAGATACGTACACACAATATTGTCTTTTTCCGAACTGAAGGTTGCTGCTTTCGTGCTCTTTCACTGCCAAATGTTTTAGTATATGTTTTCTTCTTCTTTTTTTTTTTCAAAGATTTTATTTTTCCTTTTTCTGCCCAAAGCCCCTGGTACATAGTTGTGTATTTTTAGTTGTGGGTCCTTCTAGTCGTGGCATGCTGCCTCAGCATGGCTTGATGAGTGGTGCCATGTCCGTGCCCAGGATTCGAACCGGCGAAACCCTGGGCCACCGAAACCCTGGGCCGCCAAAGCAGAACGTGAATACTTAACCACTTGGCCACGGGGCCAGCCCCAGCATGTGTTTTCTAAGAACATTCTCTTATACAACCACAATGCAATGATCAAATTCAGGAAATTTAACACTGGTAGAATACTAATATTTATGATGCTATTTGTAGTCAGATTCCACCAGTTATTACAATAATGTTCTTCATAGGTTTTTTCCTTCCTTATCCAGGAACTGATTTAAGATGACACATTCCTTTTGGTTTTTGTCTGTTTGTTTGTTTGTTTTTTAAAGATTGGCACCTGAGCTGACATCTGTTGCCAGTCGTCTTTCTTTTTTTTTCTTCTTCTCGCCAAAGCTCCTCAGTGCATAGTTGTGTATTCTAGTTCAGGTCTTTCTGGCTCTGCTGTGTGGGATGCTGCCTCAGCGTGGCCTGATGAGCGGTGCCATGTCTGTGCCCAGCATCCGAGCCAGTGAAACCTGGGCCGCCAAAGTGTGTGCGCAAACTTAACCACTCGGCCATGGGGCCAGCCCCTCCTTTAAATTGTTTTTAAGGAAAAGAATTTTTACAACATTTTTCAGAGGAAAAAAGTGAAGCTTTATCCAGATTTTAGTGTTATGCTAATGTTTTTGAATGGGAGAGAGAAAGATCTAACAACATTTGAAGATTAAATAAAAAGGAAAAAAATCAGTCTAGGATGAGGAGGCAGGAGGTCAGTTAGAATCTAGGTCAGTTTGAGCAACCATTCGAAGATGGTGCTAGTCACTGAACCAGGGAACCCAAGGAGAAGAGCAGATTTGAAAGGGCTGATAGTGAGTTCACTTTTGGACCTATTGAGTGTGAAATGCCTGTGAGACTTCCAAATTAAGCAGGTGGCTTCAAGGATCTGGGCTCAGGAGAGAGGTCTGGGATGAAGGAGTCACCAGCATGTAGCCTTGGGAATGGATGACATTGTCCAGGGAGAGATGCAGAATACGGATGAGAGAGACCCTGGGATAGAACCCTCAGGGACTAGCGTTTAAGGGAGGGCGAGAGGCAGGTAAAATGCAAAGGAAACCAAGAAATGGGGTAGTCATATGGAAGCCAATGGAAGAAACTGTTTCAAGATGAAATGGCAAACCAAGATAGCTCCAGAGGGGTCAAATAGGATAAAGATGAGATGTGTCCATTGGATTTGGAGGCAGGGAAGATCTTGGTGACCTTGAAGGGGGAAGCTACATGGTGGTGGGCTGAGGAAAGTGAGAGAAGAGGAAGTGAAGACAGGGAGTGGAGACAACTCTTTTAAGGAGATTGGCTGTGAAGAGGAGGTGGCTGCAGTGGGAACATGTGAGAAGTTTAAACAATTTAAAATGGTGCGAGAAAGAGGTAGCAGGAAGGGGAGTTGAAGAAATGAGAGGGGATAATCAAGAGTATCCCTGAGGGAGAAGGAGAGGAAGCCTTTAGACCAGAGATTCCAACTCAGATATCTACAGGGCCAGGCAGGTAAAGCAAATGAGAGTGGTGGGCTGGTGTGGACTGAATGAAACATAATGCAAAATTCTAAGGGCCTGTGCCCCAGTGAGCTTGTGATGGGGTTGTATGTCTTCACCCGTTGCCATGCACTTTGCAGAGCCCTCTTGTGGGAGGAATATGCCTCCTCACCCTGCCGCCCTAGGGCTTGCTTTGGTCACTAGGTTATGAGTAGATGTGCCATGTGTCAGGTCTGAGCCGAAGTTATGAGTTGATGCATGGTTTTCTCTGCCTTTTGCTCTTTTCCCTCTGCCCTGAGAATGCTGTGTCCCGGATAGGGACTATTCCTTCAGCCTGGGTCTTGGACATGAATCAGAGCTGTAACCAACTCCACCACCAGTGTAAACCATGAAAGAGAAATAAACCTCTGTTGTTGTAAGCCAATGGGACTTTTTTTTTAAAGATTTTATTTTTTTTTATTTTTCCTTCTTCTCCCCAAAGCCCTCCAGTACATGGTTGTATATTTTAGTTGTGGGTCCTTCTAGTGTGGTACGGGGGACACCGCCTGAGCATGGTTTGGTGAGCCATGCTAGGTCTGCACCTAGGATTCGAACTGATGAAACCCTGTGCTGCTGAAACAGAGCATGCGAACTTAACCACCCGGCCACAGGGCTGGCCCTGCCCGTAGGATTTTGAAGCCGTTAGTTACCATAGGAAAACTGACTAATACAGGAGTTCAACTAAAATAAAACTATGCTAAGATATCATTTTTTACTCAGATTAAAAAGATTCAGAAGTTGCCACAACATCCTCTGTTCCTGAGGCTGAGAATGTAGGCATTTTCATGCACTGGTACAAGCTGTGTGGATGCTGGCAGTCTTTATCAAAATTACAAATGCTGCCAGCTACGATCAAAGAGACTGAGAATTACAGGTCTGGCGAGGGTGTGGAGAAATTGGGACCCTCGTACATTGCTGATGGGAATGTAAATGGTGCAGCCAGTTTGAAAAACAGTATGGCAGTTCTGCAAAAAGTTACACATAGAGTTACCATAAGACCCACTCCTAGGTATGTGCCCAAGCGAATTGAAAACATATGCCTGCACAAAAATTTGTATGTAAAATTTCATAGCAGCGTTATTCACAACAGCCAAAAAGTGGAAGCAACCCAAATGTCCATCAGTTTATGAATGGATGAATAAAATGTGGTAGGTCCATACAATGGAATAGTATTTGGCCATAAAAGAGAATGAAGTACTGTACTGATATGTGCTACAACATGGGTGAACCTTGAAAACATTGTGCTGAGTGAAAGAAGCCTATCACAGAAGATCACATATCGTATGTTTCCGTTTATCTGAAAACAGGCAAATCTATAGAGGCGGAAAATAGATTAGTGGTTGCCAGAGGCTGGGGGGAAGGGGGACAGGGAGTGACTGCTAATGAGTTTCTTTTTGGGGTGATGAAAATGTTCTGGAATTAGATAGTGATGATTGTTGCACAGTTTTGTTTCTATGTGAAAACGCACTGAACTGTACAATTAAAGGGATATGTTTTATGGTATGTAAATTATATCTCAATAAAGCTGTTAAATTAGAAAAAAGAATGAGGAAGTTATATATACTTCTGATAAAAGATGATAAATATGATACTGATAAAAGATGGCCCATATATTGTTAACTGAAAAACAGCAAGGTGAGAACAGTGATTTATATGCTCTCTTCTGTGTGAAAAGGGAGAAAATAAGAATATATGTTCACTTTGGTTATTATTTGCATTAAAAACTCTGAAAGGATACCCAAGAAACTAATAAAAATGGTTACCTGGGGAGGTGGAGGTGGGAATGGGGTATATGGAATGGGGTGGCAATTAGACTTTTCAGTATTAATATTTTTATATATTTTGATTTTTGAACTACCTGAATACAGGACTTAGTAAAAAATAAAACAATTGAGAAGAAAACATAATGAAGGTGAAACCATGGTCATAATAAAGGGGCAATTCCAGCTATAGGTGATTGTCACTGTTTATTAATTAGTCCCCATGTTGCTAGGTCTTCTGACTTTTTTCACAAGGAAGCTGCAAGTTTCAGTATTAACGATTACTTTTAAAAGTTTTAAAACATGCTGTGCAAACAGAACGATGTCTATGAGTAGGAGTTGGCTCCCCCTCTCCAATTTGTGACCTGGGCTTTGCACAGTGGACCTCACCAGGCCAGGCCTGTGTTCTTCTGCTCTCCACTCCCTCTAGAGGCTACCCAAGTGCTCGGCACATAGTGGATCCTGGATAAATACTGGAGAGAGGGAGGGACCCAGAGTGCAGGTAACAAAAGGTTGAGTGAGTTTTGATGGCTTTTATTTTCTCTAAGAAATCTGAAATGAGAGAAGGAAACGACGGGGAGAAGGTTGATAGGTCAATAGACTTGTGGGAAACTTTTTTTTTTTTGAAAGATTCTATTTTTCCTTTTTCTCCCCAAAGCCCCCCAGTACATAGTTGTGTATTTTTAGTTGTGGGTCCTTCTGGTTGTGCTATGTGGGACACTGCCTCAGCATGGCTTGATGAGCAGTGCCATGTCTGCGCCCAGGATTCAAACCAACGAGACACTGGGCCGCCTGCAGCAGAGCGCGCGAACTTAACCACTCGGCCACGGGGCCAGCCCCTCTGCAACTTCTATTAGTTGACTTTTGGGCCTTTTAGATTAATCTTTTAAAGTTCTTTTCTCTTTTATTGTCCATCTTTTTATACTTTGATCTTTCTGTGTGATTTTTCTTGGCTTTGTTTTATTTCTAATTTTTCATTTCCGTTGTCATATTTTAAAAATCCTAGAGCTGCTTCTTGTCCTTCAAGTATTCCTTTTTGAAAGCAACCTGTTTTCTTTATTGATGCACTATCTTCTTGAACTTTTGAGGCTTTCTCCTGCTCCCTGTTTTTGTCTTCTTTCGGCAAATCTCTTTTGTCAGTTTGTCTGTTTATACCTCGGGGGTTCATGTTAGGGGCCTTCCTCAGGTGTCTGGTAATCCTTGGCTGGCTGGCTGCTCACATTTAAGAGCGAGGCACTAAGGCATATTGGGAGGCCCAAGTGCCTGGACAGGCCTTATTGACCGTGGGCCTCTCCAGCTAGGTGACTGGACAAGGACTGAAATAAGAGCATCAGTAGGTCTCTTCTCTGGGCCTGTTGGGGTCAGTTTTTCTGGAGAGGAATCCTTCAGGCTCCTGGCCCTGGAGAGTTTACCCCTGGCCACTGGTTCTGAATGCTGACTGTGAGAAAGAAGTTGATTCAATATGTAACTTCCTCCTAAGCCCCCTGTGTTCGGTGCAGTGCCTTATCCTCACCTTCTGCTGTGCCTGGCGTCCCTGAGTCCCGGCCTCTCTGTTTCAGATTCTCTAGAAAACAAACCTCCTGCTGCTTTGGAAGTAGGGAGAGAGGAGGGGAGTTGCCTGGCTTAAGGGCCAGGGGGAGGAGAGTGATGGTCTAACTGTACCTCATACAAGTTTTCATCTAATTTCTATGTTTTCAGCTGTGCCCCTCCCCCCTGCCTTCCAAGGTAGCTAGTGGTTTCAACCCCTGAGGCTTTCGGGGCTTCTGCCCCAACCTTTCCCGTTGGCATAGCCCTTTGCAGCCGTGCTGGTTTTGATTTTCTGACATTTGCTAAACCAGTTACCACTTCTCATTTGCTTTCTGTCTTCTACGATTATTGACATCTCTCACGTCTTATCTCACTTCTCATTTACTTTCTTCTTCTGGATTTGAAATTCCACTGATGCAGTTTTAGTGGGGTTTCAGTCAGGAGTAGTGGTAAACATATGTGCTTAATTGGAATGTGCACAGAGACCATGAATTTACAGCGATATAGATTTGAACGGTTTAGGTGGTTTTCACTAGCAGAATCCAGCCATCCTGGTGGCTTTGGCCAGTTGGATTGAGGCTTTGTCAGGTGGCTTTGGAGAAAGGACAGTCGGGCCAAGGAGTTGAGGATTTTGGACAAAGAGTGGTTGAAACAATGGACCGCACAACCAAGTTGTGTAAGTGAAGGAAAGAAAGATATGAGGAAGCTGATGTAAATTAAAGGCATTTATGGTCTAGAAATCCCATGACGTCAGAAAAACTTGTGAATTTTTTAGCAGACCTGCTTGGTCCTCCCAGCATCTTCTCAACGTGTGGCTAAAGTGCTGTCCTAACTTGATTCAGGTCTCTTTGCTTTATCATTCTATCAGTTAATATCCTCTTGCTTTTTAAAAAGAAAAACTCTGGGGGCCGGCCCCATGGCATAGTGGTTAAGTTCCAGTGCTCTGCATCAGTGGCTGAGGGGTCACAGGTTTGGGTCCTGGGCACAGACCTACACACTGCTCATCAAGCCAAGCTGTGGCAGTGTCCCACACATACAAAAAATAGAGGAAGATGGGCACAGATGTTAGCTAGCGAACTAAAGCAAAAAAGAGAAAGCAAAAAAATCTTCCTTCCTCAAGCAAAAAAGAGGAAGATTGGCAGCAGATGTTAGCTCAGAGCCAGTCTTCCTCACCAAAAAAAAAAAAAGAAAGAAAGAAAAAAGAAAAAGAAAAGCTCTGTGTGGGTAGGCACCCTTCCTTCTCTCAAGTGTCCAGGACAGGACTCTGAATGGGGAATGAGGGCAGTGATGCCTCACCTCCCTGTTTACCCCTGGAGGAAACTGGGAGGGTTCAGAGCCCTTGCCTCCAGATTTTGTTTCTGAGCGGTGACCAAGGTGGAATGGATAAGGAAGGTGCCGGCCAGGTGGACAGAGCTGTGGTCTTCCCTGCAGACTCTCTCTTCAGAGCTTTGGCAAAAGCCTCAGTTCAGCCAGGGACCTCTTTCTTCACCTGTGGTTCCCTCCTTGCAAACCCCTTGCATCCTGTTTCCCACCCGCACAGTGAAAGGAAAGTCTCCCTGATGTGTGCCGTGTCCAGCAGCCCAAGCGCCTGTGACCACCAGTAGAGGCCTTGGAGATTGTCTCTTTAAACCCCCATTTTACAGAAACCAAGGCCCCGAGGCTTCCTTGTTCCTGCCCAGTGGTCTTTGCACTACAGCAAACTCTGCCTGAGAGAGGCACACATGAGGAAGTAGAGCACGATGGTTAGGAGCCCCACACGCCTGGGTTCACAGCCAGCTCGGCCACATGCTGGCTGCCTGATCTGGACAACTTCCATATGTCGCGTCTCTGCAATCTCAGTTTCCCCATCTTTAAATGTGGGTGAGAGACGTAAGCTCCACGGTCACAAGGATTAGAATAATACACATTAAGTACAGAGTGTGGCATATGATAAGCACTTCAGCGGTTCCTATTCTTATTTATTTATTTATTTTTTGCTGGGAAAGATTTGCCCTGAGCTAACATCTGTTGCCAGTCTTCTTCTCTTTTTCTTATTTTCCCTCCCCAAAACCCCAGTACGTAGTTGTATATTCTAATTGTAAGTCCTTTGAGTTCTTCCATGTGAGCCGCTGCCACAGCATGGCTACTGACAGACCAGTGGTGTGGTTCCGCTCCTGGGAACTGAACCCAGGCTGCTGAAGCAGAGCACGCCAAACTTCAACTGCCAGGCCGTCAGGGCTGGCTTGGTTCCTATTCTTACTAGCTCTCTCCCTCTAGCCTCTCGACCTAAACAGCACTGCTGCCACCATCAGGGGAGCTTGAGTGAGCACTGAGGAAGGATTGACTCTTTGATTCGCAAGGCCTGGGCCAGCTCTCCTATTTTTCCCCAAACCCACTCGACTGAGGAAAAGTTTAAGGGTGGGACCCCAAGGTCCCTTGGACCTGTGTTTTTAACTAGTGGGGGGTCCAGTGATGTTGACAGTGGATTATATCAGAGCAGCCAAAGGGTGGAAGCTTCCTCCCTCTCCATGTTTTCTTGATCCTCTTGCCCCCTCATTTAGGGGGTTCCCCAGGCCTGTCTGCCCCTCTCTCCCTGGCCGTCTCTCTGAACATCCTCTCCGGGGGGGAATGGAGCCCATCACAGGCTTCAGCTGTGCCCTGACTCTCAAACCTGTTTTCCGTTCTAACATCTCATCAGAGCTCTGGGCCTGACCTCCTCATGCGAGTATCTGTAGCCCCAGGACACCTGCTCGTGGGTGAGTATTTCCAAGAAACAACCATTTTACTTTCCATCCAGCTTTGCCTTTCTGCGTCCCAATTTCTTTTAGGGGCACCATTATTTTTCCAGTCATCCGGGCTTGAAACCCCGGGGTCATCTTTGACTCTTCCTTCTCCTCCAGCGTAGATTCCATGTGTTGAATTCAGTGTAATCCAGTGAGTGGGCAAGGCTGCAGGTTCGTCTTTCTGTCCTTTCCTGCTGGCACCACCCTTATTCCAGCGTGGATCACCTCTTGCCTGGTTTATAGCAACGGCCTGTAATTCTTCTGCATCCTGCTGCCGTATACTGGTCTTCTGAGAGCATCAACTTCTTCACACTATTCCTTGCCGCAGAATCTTTCAGTGACCCCATTTCCTGCAGGGTAGAATTTAGATTCCTTGGCCCGGCTGGCACTCAGGGCGCCCAATAATCTCGTGTATCCCTCCCCACCCTGCCCTTGCTCCCGTACCATCCTTGCAGACCCTCCCTCCAGCCAGCCAGGCGCCTTCACTGACCTTAGAACAAGCCATACTCATTCTTGGTGTAAGCTCATGGCATTCCTCTTCTACCCCCGATGCCTCTCTGCCTGCCTTTCACCAATCCTGTTTCTCCTGCCCACTTTCAAGATCCAGCTCCAGTCCCACTGCACATCTTCCCCAGTCTTCAGCCCCCGTCGATCTCCTCTGTTACTGAATAGCACTTGGGATCGGCGTCTAGCCGTGCTCTGGGCTGTGACTGTTGCCTGTATATCTGTGTCCTCCCACTGGGACAGGAGGCCTGGTCAGTCCCCAGCACCCTGTCATGAACACAGTCAGTGCTCACTTCGAACTGCTCCCTGCTCGTTGAGCACTCTCAGCCTACAAGGCACAGGATCACTCTTGTCTAACAAAATGCTTCCTCAATGTGACCTCCTTTCCTTCCTGCTCCAGGAGAGGGCTTTAGAAATCAGGACGGTTCTGAAAAGGCTCTGGGTTGGCAGGCAGAGGTTAGCCTCTGAGGCCTGCCTAAACCGTTTCACCTCCACGTCTCTCAGGCTCCCTCTCCCTCAGTCTCCAGGGTCACCTGAGGCAGTCTCCTGTACCTGCCCCCGCTGTCCTTGCTCCTACTGTGAGCCCTTTGATTCCCAGTAGGTAGCCTCTGTTCCTGCTGCCTCTCCGGTCCGCTCAACCCTGAAGTTCATGTGGTACTTGCTTTTTGCCTTTCATCTCATTTCCTCCCTTCTTCATGTCAGCTAATGATTATTCAGGGGACTTATCTTAACCTGCTGTCCCTATCTCAAATCGTGTGAGTTCTCTTGAGGGCAAGGGTCAAGAGGGTGATATCACGGTCATGTGACTGTGCCTATGCCTCCCTCCCTCTGCTGCCTGGTCCTAACGTTCTGAAAAGCTAGTCGTGTACCCTGCCTCCAGCTCACCTGGACAGAGACCTGAGCAGAAACGTAAGCCTGTTGTCTGTGCCTTAGGTGGGCAGTGGCCACTGGAATCCACCTGCACGGCGCTAACTGCCTTTTTCTTTCCCACCTGTTTCTGCCGGCTTTCTCCCTGCACGTGCTCACTCGCCCTTGTCTGTACCGTGCAGGCTGGGACTGAGCTGCAGGACTGGGACCTTTGGCGTATCGTGGGTTTGGGGTTCTTGCTGGTTAGGTCCAGGTGGGGTACGCTGGCTGAGTAGGGAATGACTCCAGTTCTGCCCACAGATTCACCCTGATGGCTGACTCTGAACCGCTCCTCTCCCTTGATGGGGACCCCGTGGCTGCAGAAGCCTTGCTCCGGGATGTGTTTGGGATCATTGTGGATGAGGTCATTCGGAAAGGGACCAGTGCCTCCGAGAAGGTGGGTCCTTCCTCCCTCCTCCTCCTGTCCATCAAACCTGGCTCAGAACCTTCCTCTTCCCACGAGGCTTCTCCCCAGAATTCATCACTGTCTCACAGTGTGCCTCAGGGGTATATAGTGGGTCCTACTCTGGTTTGTTTATCCTTGTTTGGGTGCTGCTTTGAAAATATGCCTAACCTGTTGTAAGTGCAAGTTGGCAGTGTCTGGTGTCTATGGAGTTGTGGTTCGGGCAGCTGGTCAGTGGGGTATCTCAGGGCCCCCAGAGTCTCCCGCTTCTCCTCCTAGGTCTGCGAGTGGAAGGAGCCGGAGGAGCTGAAGCAGCTGCTGGATTTGGAGCTGCGGAGCCATGGGGAGTCACGGGAGCAGATCCTGGAGCGGTGCCGGGCTGTCATCCGCTACAGCGTGAAGACCTGTGGGTCCTGGTTCTGGTGGGAGGAGTGTCTGGCATTTGTACCAAGCTTCACTCTGAGCTCCCTGCCCTCCTTCTCCAGGTCACCCTCACTTCTTCAACCAGCTCTTCTCAGGGTTGGATCCCCACGCTCTGGCCGGGCGCATTGTCACCGAGAGCCTTAACACCAGCCAGTGAGCCTCCCAAGGCCCCCTCCCTGCGCCCACAAAGGCTTTGGCCTTGCAGGAGACATACCTAGGGTTAGGGGAGGAGAATGGCTTTTGCCCCCTCTCTGTTTTCTGGGAATCCCTGCCTGCAGGCTTTCCCCTTGGACCCTTTGGACTCCCTTTCTCCAAGCCTTCTCAGGTCTCCTAACCCCAGTTTTTTCTCACTTGTCTCCCTGGTTCTTTGTCACCAACTTGTTCCCCTCTGTGGACCCTTCCCTCACTCATTCCGTCCGACTCCTCTGAGTCTGGCCTGGCCGGCCCTCCCTGTTTCCCCCTTTCTCATTGTTCCCTGTCTGGCAGGTACACTTATGAAATCGCCCCCGTGTTTGTGCTCATGGAAGAAGAGGTCCTGAAGAAACTCCGGGCGCTGGTGGGCTGGAGCTCTGGCGATGGGGTCTTCTGCCCTGGTGTGTGAGAAGGAGGGGGGCCTTTCTTTGCCATTTTCAGGGATCCTCTTCCCACACCATTCTCTTGCTCTCAGCTGACAGGAGGGGTGATTTCTCTTTGTTTTCTCTCCAGCTGGGCTAGGGCCAAACTGGAGAGAAGCTGCTCAGCCCCCTGAATCCTTGTGTTTACCCAGCGCCTGCACGCTCTGGGCAGGGGCGCTGCTGTCCTGGGGGCAGCCCAGGATATCCAGAGGGTGGTCAGGGTGACCTCTGGATCCCGGGGCCATTCTGGGTCATCAGTGTGCCATTCATAGAGCCCTGAGAATTTGTGGTCAGGGAGCCAATCACTCGTGCTTCTTTGATCAGTTCCTCTGGGTAGAGAGGTCAGGGGAGGCAAGCTCCGGTTTTGACTTGCTGCCCCTCTCTTGCCACCACCCCCTCCCTGTGACAGGTGGCTCCATCTCCAACATGTATGCTGTGAACCTGGCCCGCTATCAGCGCTACCCGGATTGCAAGCAGAGGGGCCTCCGGGCACTGCCGCCCCTGGCCCTCTTCACATCGAAGGAGGTGGGAAGAGGCACAGGGCTCCACTGGGCTACTGATTCTAATCTCCAGCCAGCTGAGTCTGAGACTTATATCCTCCGGGCCAGCCTTCCCCCCGGGCAGATGTGTTTCTTTCCAGTCAAGGGGGCTGAGTACATGCTCCTGTTCACCTTCCCTTCTATCTGGAGGTTGCGAAGGGGCAACCAATGCAGTGGACACAGTGCACACCCTTTCTACTCAGAGTGTGGTCTGTGGACCAGCAGCATCACCATCACCTGGGAGCTTGTTAGAAATGCAGGCTCTCGAGTCCCACCCAGACCTACCGAATGTGAATCTGCATTTTACCAGATACTCTGGTGGTTTGCAGGCATGCGAACATTTGAGAAGCCCTGGTCTACAGGGTCTCATCTCTTGAAGCTCACACTTACCAGTATGTCTTCCCCATTGTCCCTGCCCTCTTGCCCCTAGCCTAATTGCCACCTCTGCCTTCCTCCACAGTGTCATTACTCCATCAAGAAGGGAGCTGCTTTTCTGGGACTTGGCACTGACAGTGTCCGAGTGGTCAAGGCAGATGAGAGGTGAAGGTCCTTCTGTCCACATGACTCAGACCCAGCCTGGCTCAGTGTACCTTCCTGCTGCCAGAAGCTCTGGCCTCAGGCACATGCCCCTGGTGGACCTCTCTCCCCTCTCTGTCCCTGCAGAATTGCCACTTCTGTCACCAGTGCCTGCTAGAGTCTCCCGCCCCATCCCTGAGATCTGTTTGCCCCTCTTGGGGAAAGATCAGCATTGTGGCCTCTGCATTGCTCACCCCACATTACCCTACTCTCGACAATTTGCCTCCTAGCCTAGAGAACCTATTACTTCTCTACCCACTCAGTTTTCTTTTCCAGAGGGAAAATGATCCCTGAGGATCTGGAGAGGCAGATCAGTCTGGCCGAGGCGGAGGTGAGTGAGTGAGGGGTGCTGGGGCAGTGGAGCAGGACCCCTCTGTCCCTTTCTTGGAGGATTCTTCGGGCTCTCCCTGCTCAGGGCACCCTCATCCCTCTCCTTGGTCTCCATGCCTGTCTTCCCTGTGGGCTGAAGGGATGGGTGGGGAGCCTGAGGGGCGAGGACGCTCTGCGGTGCTCTCAGGGACTCTGCTGACACCACAGGCGGGAGCGGAGCCCGAGAGGCAGGAGCAGGACTGAGTCAGTGAGTGGAGCCCCAGGCAGCACCACGGGAAGGATGTGGGATCTTTTGGAGCTTCTTTTACTTAGCATAGTAAGTGCAGTGTAGCGTGGAAGGCTTCTGGGAGCCGGGAGGGTCCGTGCAGGGAGATGCTCAGGAAGATGCGTGGCTCCGGGGTGAGGAGCGCAGGCTTGGAGTGGCGGGAATGTGGGGGCACCCGCGCCCTCCTCCACGCTGGGGGATACGAGAACTGCTGCAGCCATCCTGGAGGGCATTTTGGTGCCATCTATACAATTGTTAAACGTATCCATCCACTGATGCAGAGTCCAGCTGCAAGGATTTATTCTGTAACTCGTCATCACAAGTGCTTGGAATTCTGTGCCCCGGAACAAAGCGTCAAATTAAAAAAACTGTAAATGCCCGTCACATAAGTTACGGTGTAGCTGTGTGTCTCAGTTTCTTCCTTTGTAAAATGAACTGAATATAGAACTCACCACATAGGGTTGTCGTAAGGATTGAATGAATCTGGTATGGAAAGCACAGAGAAGAGGGAAGCGCTGTATAAATATGGGCTGCCATGATTATTGTTGGTGGTATCGTTTTCATTGGAATACTGTGTAGCCAATTAAAAGAATAAGGTGGGAATATACACAGTAACATGAAACTACCTCTACTATATATTGAAGTATATGTCGCAGAATAGAGTGGACACTTTGAGACTATTGTTATTTAAAACAATGTATATTTGTTGATATCTGAATGTTACCTCTGAGCAGCAATTAGAATAGTGGAGTACCACTTTTATTGTATAAGCTTTTTTTGGTAATAGCTTTATTGAGGTATAATTCACATGCCATAAAGTTCACTCATTTGTAGTATATAATTCAGTGGTTTTTAACCTATTCACAGAGTTGTGCAACCATCACTACAGTCAACGTTAGAACACTTTTATCAGCCCAAAAGGAAACCCCCAACCTTGAGCCATCAATCCCCACTTCTTCCATCCCTCCCATTAAGCGACTGCTAATCTACTTTGTATCTCTCTGGATTTGCCTATTTTGGATTTTTCGTATAAATGGAATCATACTATAGATGGTCTTTCGTGATGAACTTTTGCTTAGCATAATGTCTTGAAAGTTCATCCATGTTGTAACATATACCAGTACTTCATTCTTCCTTATTTTATTTTTTTTGTGTGAGGAAGATTTGCCCTGGGTTAACATCTCTTACCAGTCTTCCTCTCTTTGCTTGAGGAAGATTGTCTTTGAGCTAACATCTGTGCCAATCTTCCTCTATTTTATGTGGAATGCTGCCACAGTGTGGCTTGATGAGTGGTGCTAGGTCTGCACACGGGACCTGAACCTGTGAACCCCAGGCTGCCAAAGCGGAGCATGCGAGCTTAACTACTACGCCACTGGGCCGGCCCCTCCTCCTTATCGCCAAATAACATTTCATTGTATAGATATACCACATTTTACTTATCTCTTCCTCAGTTGATGGACATTTGGGATGTTTCTACTTTTTGGCTTTTATGAATAATGCTACTCTGAACGTTTATGTACAAGTTTTTTGTTTTTTTTTTTAAGATTTTATTTTTCATTTTTCTCCCCAAAGCCTCCTGGTACATAGTTGTATATTTTTTCAGTTGTGGGTCCCTTCAGCTGTGCCATGTGGGACAGCGCCCCAGCATGGCCTGATGAGCAGTGCCATGTCCACGCCCAGGATCCGAAGCGGCAAAGCCCTGGGCCACTGAAGCAGAGCACGCGAACCCAACCACTCGGCCACGGGGCAGGCCCCCTATGTAGAAGTTTGTGTGTGAACATGTTTTCATTTCTCTTGGTTATATACCCGGGAGTGGAATTGCTGAGTCATATGATAACTCTATATTGAACCTTTGAGTAACTGCCAGACTTGTGTTCTAAAGTGGCTGCATCAGTTTACAATGCCACCAGCAGTGTATGAGGGTTCCAGTTTCTCTACATCCTCACCAACACTTATTTCTCTTTTTGATTGAGCCGTCTTAGTGGGTGTGAAGTGGTACCTTGTGGTTTTGATTTGCATTTCCCTCTGACTAATGATGGTGAGCATCCTCTCATGTGTTTCTTGGCCATTTGTATGTCTTTGGAGAAATGGGCAGATCCTTTGCCCAGTTTTTAATTGGGTTGTCTTTTCTAATTGACTTGTAAGAGTTCTTCCTCTATTCTAGATACAGGTCCCTTATCAGATATATGATTTGCGAATATCTTCTTCCATTCTATAAGTTGCCTTTTCACCTCTTTGATGGTGTCCTGTAAAGCACAAAAGTTTTAAATTTTGATGAGGTCCAGTTTATCTTTTTTTTTTTTTTTGGTTGCTTGTACTTTTGGTGTCATATTTAAGAAGGCTTTGCCTAACCCAAGCCCACAAAGATTTACTCCTATATTTTCATGTAAGAGTTTTGTAGTTTTAACTTTTACATTTAGTTCTATGATCTGTTATAAGTTAATATTTGTGTATGATATGAGAAAGGGGTTCAACTTCATTCTTTTGCATGTGGATATCCAGTTGTCCCAGCACTGTTTGTGAAAAGACTGTTTTCCCCCCCAGTGAATTGTCCTGGCATCCTTGTTGAAAATCACTTCACTGTAATTGTGAAGGTTTCTTTCTGGATTCTTCATCTGTTCCATTGATCTGCATGTCTGTACCATCGACCACATTGTCTTTATTAATGTAGCTTTGTAGTAAGTTTTGAAATCAGGAAGTGTGAGTCCTCCAACTTTGTTCTTCTTTTTCCAGATGGTTTTGGCTGTTCTGGGTCCCTTAAATTTCCATATGAATTTTAGGGCCAGCTTGACAATTTCTCCAAAGAAGTCACCTGGGACTTTGGTAGGAATTGTATTCAGTCTGAGATTCATGAACATGGAATGTCTTTCCATTTATTTAGGTCTTCTTTGATTTCTTTCAACAATGCTTTGTTGTTTTCAGAGTATCATTTTGCACTTCTTTTGTTAAATTTATTTCTAAGTATTTTATTCTTTTTGATGTTCTTGGAGATGAGATTTTCCTAATTCCATTTTTGGATTGTTCATTGCTAATATATAGAAATACAATTGATTTTTGAGTGTTGATCTTATACCCTGGAAACTTGCTGAACTCATTTATTAATTCTGATAGTTTTTTAGTGGATTCCTTAGGGTTTTCTAGATACAATATCATGGTATCTGTAAATAGAAATAGTTTTGCTTTTTTTCCTTTCCAATCCGGATGCCTCTTATTTATTTTCTTACTTAATTGCCCTGCTAGAACCTCAGTACAATGTTGAATAGAGGCGGGGAGAGTGGACATCTTGTTTTGTTCCTGGTCTCGGGAAGGCTTTTAGTCTTTCAGCATTGAGTACGATGTTAGCTGTGGATTTTTCGTAGATGCCCTTTATTGGGTTGAAGAAGTTCCTTTTGCTTCCTAGTTTGTTGAGTGTTTTTTTGTCACGAAGGAGTGTTGGATTTTGTGAAATGTTTCTTCTCTGTCTATTGAGATGATCCATAGACCACACTGAGATGTGTTTTTTTTCCTTTGTTTTGTTGATGGGGTATATTACATTAATTATTTCTGGATGTAAAACCAAGCTGGATTCCTAGGACAAGTCCCACTTTGTCCTGGGCTATAATTCTTTTTCTACGTTGCTGATTTGGGTTTGTGCTAGTGTTTGTAGATTTTTATATTTATCAGTGATATTGTCTGTAGTTTTCTTTTCTTGTGCTGTTTTGTCTGGTTTTGGTATCAGGGAAATACTCGCCTCAGAGGGTGATTTCAGAAGAATTCCCTCCTCTTCTGTTTTTTGAAAGTTTGTGAAGAACTGGCATCAGTTCTTTTTTAAATGTTTTGTAGAATTCATCAGTGAAGCCATCTGAGCCTGGGCTTTTCTTTGTGGTAGTTTTTTGAATACTAATTCAATTTCTTCATAAACTTTTGTACTATTAGAATTTCTAAAATAGCATTTTGATTTTCCAGTAAGACATGAACGTTTTTTGAGAGTATGACCTTTGGAAATAGACATCAGACAGACCTGGATTTGAATTCCATCTCTGGAGCTTCAGCTTGGGGGCAGGTTTCTTAACACCTCTGACTCTCTGTCCTCACCTGCGAATTAAAGGGGACAGTAACACTGAAGAGTTTAGAGCTGGGCCCTGGCACCACGCTCTCAGTAGCTTTTGAGATGACGTCACAGCCTCTTTCTCCCTCTGCATTTTTGCCATAGGGTGCTGTGCCATTCCTGGTCACTGCCACCTCTGGCACGACCGTGCTGGGGGCCTTTGATCCCCTGGAGGCGATTGCTGATGTGTGCCAGCGTCATGGGCTGTGGCTGCATGTGGACGTGAGTGGGACTTGGGGCTGAGGGTGGGGTAGGCTGAGCTGAGGTCAAGGCCCACGTTGTTCCTTCTCCTCCACAGGCCGCCTGGGGTGGGAGTGTCCTGCTCTCACAGACACACAGACATCTCCTGGCTGGGATCCAGAGGTACGTACTGCCCCCCACTCCCTGAATCCCACCCTTCAAATCCCCGATCCAGAGATTAGTCGTGGACTAGGGAGCTTCGGATGGGAGTGGGGCAAGGAGGTTGGTGGGAAGGGCATTGGAGAGTTGGTTAATCGGGGCTGGGAGGGCAGACGTCAGGTGGGGCAATTCCTGCTGACTGCTGGGCTGGGGTGAGACTAAGCCCCTTTACTGGAGATCTGGAAAAGGAGGGGGGCTCTGGCTGGGCAGCGGACCAAGAGGAGGAGCCGCTGCCCCAGCGTCACTCTGCTCCCCCAGGGCGGACTCCGTGGCCTGGAATCCCCACAAGCTCCTCACAGCAGGCCTGCAGTGCTCAGCTCTCCTGCTCCGGGATACCTCGGTGGGTCTGCCCCCGCCGCTGGCCTGCCTCCAGGGGGACCTCTGTCTTCTTTTCTAACCCACTTTAGAGGGGGTCCTGGCCTTACTGTTTTCTCCTTACCATCCCACCTGAAGCTGAATGTCTGCCACCACCCTAATCCCCTGCAGTGGGCTCCCTCATCCCCCTCCCCAACCCCGTGGCCTGTCTTCATGCAAAGGAAAAACTTCCAGCTTGAAGTTGTAATCAGGTGGAGTTTGGAAGAACTCTGGATATTGGGAGAAAACCCAGAGAAGGGGGTCTGAGTCCGCCAACAGCCCTCCCATCATGCCGCCTGGCTCCAGGGGAAGATGTGGGCGGAATGCACTAAGAAATCCCCCGGTGCAGCCCTGGGGAATCCTCCATGGGGGGCGTGGGGTCTGACAGTCTCCCCACCCCACCCCCAGAACCTGCTCAAGCGCTGCCACGGGTCCCAGGCCAGCTACCTCTTCCAGCAGGACAAGTTCTACGACGTGGCTCTGGACACAGGAGACAAGGTGGTGCAGTGCGGCCGCCGCGTGGACTGTCTGAAGCTGTGGCTCATGTGGAAGGCCCAGGGCGGGCAAGGGCTGGAGCAGCGAGTGGACCAGGCCTTCGCCCTTGCCCGGTAGGAGTGGAGCAGTCCCAGTTCCCCTCCCCAGCGTCCATCCCCTGCACCCCTTTGCTGCTCTCGGTGTCTCTCAGCTCATTCTCTGAGTCTCTTCTGTTTCTGTGTCTGTGCCTCTCCTCCTCCATCTGTGTTTCTCACTCTATTCGCAGGTACCTGGTGGAGGAATTGAAGAAGCGGGAAGGATTTGAGTTGGTTATGGAGGTAACACCAAGCCCATGAAGGAGGGCTCCGTGATGCCTGGCTACCGGCCCCAACCCTGTGCTCTTTGGCATCCCCCCGGCCCCCCAGCCTATCCCACACGTAGAGTCCTGATGGGGGAAGAGGAGAGTGGGAGGGGAACGGTCCCCTTCCTCGGCTCACATCTTCCCCTCTTTCCTTCCTCCCAGCCTGAGTTTGTCAACGTGTGTTTCTGGTTCGTCCCGCCCAGCCTGCGGGGGAAACAGGGGAGTCCAGATTATGCTGAAAGGCTTGCCAAGGTAGGCTCTCTCGTCCCACTTATCGGGAACTGATGCAGCTGGTGCGCTTCCGCCCCCTGCTGGCTCTGAGTGGCATGGCAGGTCCCTTTGCTAGTCCTGCTTCTGAGATGGGGATGTGAACTGGACGACACCAGTTTGTCCTCATTTCTGTGGGGGTGGGGGTGGGAATAAGGCATATTTCTGGAAAGTAATAAGAAGACAGAAAGGGGCATGACAGGAGAACTCACCAGTGTGTGATACATAAACCCTGTGCCGGGCCTTCAGCTGGGAGCTCACGCCCAGGATAGAGATGTGAGACGGAAAGATCATGGAAGAGCTTTATTCAGTGATGCTGGGGACGGCACAACCCAGTAAGGCCAGTCCACACGTGCCTCCTGGAGGCGGAGATCTGTCGTGTCCTAGTCCCTAAGGATAGATTGGTACTAGCTGCTGCAGATGATCTAAAAGGACAAGAACATTCTTGCCCTTAGGGAGTTATATTTTGGAAAACAAGAGTTACCTATTCGAAACCAATGTGTTCAAGGCAATCTTGTAAATTACACGTTAGATCACAGGGTACAGATCAAAAATATTGCAGGAATTCAGAGAGAGGAGAAGAAGGTGCTAAGGATGCCCAGGGCTTAAAGTTAGACTAAAGCAGTGTTGGGATTCAGGGACAAGTCAGGATTTGGCAGGAAATGGCCCCTGTGACAACTTGGAGACAGGTGAGAAGGGGAACAATGCAGACGGTGGAGAAGGCTAAGCAGGTTGAATGTGGTAGAAAAGGTAAACTGGGGCCACAGTCACCATCTGAGCAATGAGAGCTGCATCCGAAGGCAGCTGCATGGGAGGGAAATGCTTCTCGGGGAGCCAGGCTGGCCAGGAAGGCAGCCCACCCCCTCACCTCACCCCAGGCTGCAGCTGGATGCGCTCCCCACCCCTTCCACAGGTGGCCCCGGTACTTAAAGAGCGCATGGTGAAGGAGGGCTCCATGATGGTTGGCTACCAGCCCCACGGGACCCGGGGCAACTTTTTCCGCATGGTTGTGGCCAACCCGGCTCTGACCCAGGCTGATATGGACTTCTTCCTCAATGAGCTGGAACGGCTAGGCCAGGACCTCTGAGCCCCCTCCTTGCCAGTGGGCTTGGCATCCCGGCCCCACCCGCCCTATGTGTTCCCCGCTGTCTTCTCAAGAACAGCCTTCCTAGGAAACACAGCGGTCTTAACAATGTTTATATGCTTTGACCCACTAACTCTCCTATTCGATATTTGATATCAGGAAGATGTTTAAATGAATAGTATATCCATATGGTGGGATGTTGTTCTGCCATTGAAATTATGTTTACAAAGAAGATTTTTATTGCTATGAAAAAAATAATTTTAATATAATGTTATGTTGAAAAAGCTGGATACGAGACTTTATTTATAGTAATATCTGGGCTATATTTAAAAATTTACATAGGAAAAGACTGATGAAATGAAATATGCCAAAATGTTAATATTAATAGTTTTCCCTGGGATAGGATTATAGGCAATTTAAAAGTGAACTTCTTTATACCTTTTGTGCTCCCCCCTTCTAGTATATAATGAATATGTGTAAGTTTTGTTATAGGAAACTAATAAAGTTAAAATTTCAACTGTATTATTTTGGTATGTTTTGAAGTTTGTTACCTTTCAACTAAATAATGGAGAATGCAAATGTATTTTTTAAAAAAGGCAGGAGTAGGGGCCAGCGTGGTGGCGTAGTGATTAAGTTCCCATGGTCTGCTTCAGCGGCCCCGGGTTCACTGGTTCAGATCCTGGACGCGGACCTCACTCATCAAGCCACGCTGTGGTGGCATCCCACGTACAAAATAGAGGAAGATTGGCACAGATGTTAGCTCAGGGCCAATCTTCCTCAAGCAAAAAGAGGAAGACTGGCAACAGACGTTAGCTCAGGGCCAATCTTCCTCAAAAAAACAAATAGGTAAGAGAGGCTAAAAGGAGGAAAAATTTTTCCCCGAAAACCTTCGGTGGGAGGGGAAAGACCAAAAGTGGAGCCACCCTAAAATTAATTGTTTGATGACATTGAAAACAAAATGGGCACTGATTATATCTTGAGACTAGAGCCTTGTCTACTCACCACTGTTGAAAAATCCTCACGCACAAAGTTAGAATTTTCCTTCTGTAATTTAAACAACAGAAACCAAGTTAAAAAAAAACAGCCCAGCAACCAAACCAACCACTGTTGTGTCTCCTGGTGTTGCTACTGTCTTACATAAAAACATCCAACTGCAACTTACTATCCAGGGCTGGTGTTGCTTCTCAGTCACTTTTTGGGAAAGAGGTATTTAGCTACACAAAGTTAAGGACAAGTGGCAAGTCTACCAGAACTTTTTGTTATTTCCAATTCCTAAAAATACCATTTATGAAAATAATATTGCGGTCATGTAGAAGTCATCCAAAGCCATTTGAAGAGGCAAACACACACTACAAACCACAGCAAAAGAACATCCAAATCTGGGACCCAGCTCTCTTGACCATTTGGGGAAAAAGAAAACCAGGACCTTTCTATTCATAAATTACGAATCATTCCCCTATAAACTTGTTGTTCTTGTTATAAATGGCGTTTTAACTTCTTCCAAATAATAAAATTGCTTTGAGAGTATTAATAATTGAACTCCAAGCCCTGATCTTAAAAAGTTCTATATATCTGCAAAGTCACTTAAACATAGGGAAAAAAGGTGAACTAAAGAAATCCTTATTTTCAGCTCAAAGCAAAGCCAGAAAGCAAAAACAGAAACAGAATCTTCAAATCCCTTGAATCATCTTCACTTAAGAAATATTTTTAAGAGAAGACCAGAAACACAGGGCATATTTTTCTCCGTCTTTATGGAGCTGATGCTTCTTTTCCTCTGTTCCAAAATCCAGTCTCAAAATCTCTGGATACAATATAGGACTCTTTCTCTTGCTTCGTCTCTCCCATCGGTGTTTACTGAGCTCTTGCTGGGTGTAATTCCTTTCCCTGCCTTCAAAGAGCTTAGGATTTAAGCACTCATCCCTCAGCTTAGGGCCTTTGCACCTGCTGTCTGTCCCCTTTTGTCTCAGTGTTTATCCATTTACATGGTTTGCTCCCTCATTGCCTTTAGATTTTTGTTCAGATGTCACCTCAGTGAAGCCTTCTTTGAATATTCTATTTAAAATCACATTTTCACCCTCTCTGCTTGTATTTGCTATTCCCTTATCTGCCATGTTTTTCTCTATGGCATGTATAAGCTTCTGGCATCTGGCATACTCTTATTTCATTACTATATAGATTTTTTCTTTTTCATTTCCTTTTCTTTTCCTTTCTAGTCTCATCTGACTAGAACGTAAACTCTGGGAGCGGAGATTTTTGTATCACTGCGTCCTAAAATGGAGTCTGGTACTTACTAGATGGGTAATGTTGAGTGAATGGTTAATGAGCTCTAGGTGCTAGCTGACTTGCTCTCAGTCACATGAATTCTCAGTGGTGGAGTCAAAGTCAAGTTCAGACCATCTACCTCCAGCTCTTGACCATGGACCTAGCCTGCTTCTGTTGACAGGTGTACATCATTCCCACGTGTGTGGGTGTTAGGGCCATTTTATTAACCATAGATGCTGTGGATCTACTGCCTGCAGGAGGGATGAAGCCATGTGCAGGTTCAGTTACCCATCTTGCCCTTGGCCTGGGGAAATCGTTTTTCCATCCACGATGAAACAAGGACTTTGGGAACACCTGGGTGGGTTGCAATGTTGGAATGGGTTTTTTTTTTCTTGGTTTAAAGGGTCAAAGTATTCAAGAGGCCAGCCTCCACATGGCTGGGAGAGGAAGATGGGGTCTTCACAGGGAGATGGGCCAGGGCTGGGGAGCTAACAGCTGGGTGGGGCACCTGTGGTTTGGCAGCTCTTGAGGTTGAGGGCAAGACCCTTAGGAAAAGGAGCACACTACAGTCGAGGCAGGCTGACTGGACCCTGGGACTGTTCTTAGGCACCTAGGTCCTCATTTGGCTATTTCTCTTCTGTTTATTTACCTATGAAAAATCTTTTATTTTGAAGTAATTTGAAATGTATAGAAAAGTTGCAAGAATAGTGACAGAATTTCCATATACTCTACCTAAATTTATCAATTTTTCACATAATGACAAATTTTCTTTGTCATTCTCTGTTTATGTTCTATAATTTATTTTTTTCACAATCATTGAGAGTTGGTTGCACACAATATGCTCCTTTATCTCCAATACTTTGGCCCATATTCCCTAAGAACAAGAATATTATCTTAACCTTGGTACCATATCAAATTCAGGAAATGTAACATTGACGCTATACCTTAATGTAAAGCCCATATTGCAAAAGTGTCACTTGTCCCAATAATGCCCATAGTGGCATTTTCTCCTCCAGTACGCCATCCCAGTCCCTCATTGTGTATTGCATTTTGTTGCCATGTCTGTCTCCTTTAATCTAAAGTTGTTCCTGAGCTTCTCTTTGTCATTAATGACATTGACATTTTTAAAGAATACAGGCCAGTTATTTTATAGAATGTTTATCAATTTGTTTTTTCCTGATGTCTCCTCACGACTGGATTCAGGTGACACATTCTGAGCTGGAATATGACGAGAGTCGCGTGTGTCCTTTTCAGGGAAGCACATCCCGAGGTCCACAATGTCCATCTGCTCCTTCTTGGTGATGTAATTTTGATCAAGGTCAAAACTGGTCAAGCTGTTGTCTGGTTTCTCCATAGCGTAGTTACTATTTTCCCCTTTGCAACTAATAAACAATCTGTGAGGAGACGTTTTGAGATTATGCAAAAACCTGCTCCTCTTCATGCTGTTCCTCCCTAGACTTCCTGTCCACTCACGATTCTTGCCTTTAATCATAGTGGTTGCAAAATGATGATCTTCTAACTCCAGCATTCCCTCTGCTTTTATCACTTGGCAATCAACTGTAAAGAAGAGCTCATCTTTCCCCTCATTCATTCATCCATCTATTTATTATCAATGTGGACCCTTGTTTTGTTCAAGAGGTTACAATCTATTTCTATCCTTACTTATTTTCATGCTCAAATTGCCCCAGTTTTGACCATAGGGAGTCCCTTTAATCTGGCTCCCATGTCCTTTTTTTTTTTTTAAAGATTTTATTTTTCCTTTTTCTCCCCAAAGCCCCCCGCTACATAGTTGTATATTTTAGTTGTGGGTCCTTCTAGTTGTGGCATGTGAGATGCCGCCTCAGCATGGCCTGACGAGCGGTGCCATGTCTGTGCCCAAGATCCGAACCCATGAAACCCTGGGCCACCGAAGTGGAGCACACGAGCTTAACCACTCAGCCACGGAGCCGGCCCCCTCCCAAGGCTTTTAGACATGACTTTTTTTTTTTTAAGTACTGCCTTTTTTTCTGGCACAATAAAAATGTTTCGGGCTTATCTTGTCCCTTCTTTGCCCCAGGCTTGAATCAGCCATTTCTTCAGGGAGCCCCAATTCTTTTTAGTGGAGAATGACATTTAGAAACCACAGTCTAGGCACCAGGTGTGTTTATTGTTGCTGGATATGTTCATGTACTTTTAAAATTTAGACTAACATCCTTTTGGATCTCCCAACCCATCTTAACTGTGTGAAGGGAAACAAAGGGCCAGAGCTTTAAAGGGGGGATGTGATGGTCTCCTGGGAACTAGCACAGAGGAGCAGAGAAAACAGATTGATAACCTAGGGTGGTAGGTGGGGGTGAGGTAGAGTTGGGGTGCTTGGCTGATTCATCTCTTTTTTTAGAGAGTTTTTTTTATGTGAAGTGGAGAACCTTGCAGGTTGGGTTTTGTGTAAAGACGGCAATGTTCTTACAACCCCTGGTTTGGTATTAGCATTACAAGGTTCATAGGATTACAGGTCTTGAAGTTGAAAGGCCAGCACAAGGACTCACCTGGTACATCTTTGGCCTTTAGGCAGATTTTTCAACCTGTATTTTACAAATCAGGCAGCTGAGGTTGGGCAAAGCTAAGGTTCTTGAGAAAATCACGAAAGTGTCTGTCTCTTAAGCAGAAGATGTATTTTATTTTAAAGAAGATCCCATTTGTTCCTGTGAGCCACCATCTCTTTAATTTTATCCCCCAAATACAATAATTCTGTGCTTTCTTTTCTAGACTGATATTTTGTCAGTTCTTGAGCTCCAGAACCACACATGTTAAAGGAATCCAGTAATATTGGATTGGATCCTGTAGTGTGATGGCCTAGTTTTGAAAAATTCCTGAAGTTCATTTTTAGTAAATTCCCTGGTGCCAACACAATTAGCTTGCACATTTCCTTAGTTTGTAGCATGTTATTTTTAGTTTTTTCTTATAACCACTTACATTCTAAAGTTGGCTCCGAGGGTTTTTTTAACGTCAACTGGAGGTGTTCTGGGGCTGCTCTCTTCTGCCAGGAAGATGGACTTGAGGGTTATGTGTACCAGGTATTGACACAGGGTTTTCCTTTGGGGAAGATTTTAAATTACATATGCAATTTCTTTAATAGATAAGGGCTATATTCAAGGCTATTTCTTCTTGAGTAACCTTTGGTAGTTTTTGCCTTTCAAAATTTGTCTATTTTCATCTAAGTTGTAGGATGTATTGATACAAAACTGTTTCCTTGTTATCCTTTTGGTATCTATGGAATCTGT